GGTTTCATTATATTTCCAAATTGTCCTTTTGATTGGCTTGATTTTGTGTGTTATGATATTTATATTAGAGGAAATAGTACAATGATCAGATTTACCGATTGGGTCAGTTACTTCCCAGGAGTCAAAGATATCAGGAGAATCAGTTATTATATGGTCAATGCAGGTTTTAGACTGTTTAGTGATTCTTGTTGGTTGGGTCACTAATTGGGTATAATTATATTCATCAAGGTGATCAAGTAATATTTTTCCTGCTAGGTTGTCATCCTGGTTGTCAAACCATTCAGAATTTTTGGCATTTAAATCTCCCATCATGACTACATGGTCAAATTTTGGAACAGAATTTTCAATTTTGGATAATTGTTGCTTAAATAATGAGAAATATTCTTTTGTTTCTTTAGCATTAAGGCTGGGTGATCTATAACATACACCTAGCAGTAGTCTTTTCTGCTGTATTTTTATTTCAGAAAAAAGTATTTCAGTACCTTTAACATAAAAGTCTAGGTGTAATGGTTTAGATGCCAAAGTTTTGTGTATATACATAATTAAACCTCTACCTGATTCATTATAAATAGAATTATAGTCCTCGATGTCAAAGTCTCCGGATTCCATTTTGAGTTTAGAAATACCAGTCTCACAGAGGCTGATTACAGCTGGATTAATTTCCCTTGCTCGTCGCTTCAATAATTCAAACCTTGCACCTTCATTTGCAGTTATACTATTTATATTTGAAAGCAGAAGTGTTAGTTTTTCATTTTGGCCTGGATTAGGATGCACATCTCCTGACATTAGAAGAAGAATTGATGTCACGTTTGGTGTAAATGTAAGGGTCAGTAGCCCTGGTATAACTAAGGAACTTAGCAGCAGTTTTAGAAATAGTATGATGGTATAGGGGCTAAAAGGTGACTTCACCTGGAGTTTAATTATGTATAAACAAACTAGTGGTAGTAAAACAATGGTTACTATCGAGTATGTGATTAGGAAAAATCCTAAGATGGAGGCAAATATGAGTTCTAATCCAACGTTCATCTTGTACATGAAAATCAGAGTTGTGACCATGAGTAAAATGGTTAAAATGGGATAAGGGTGTATAGTTCTTCCATCCTTAGAAGTAACTTTAAAGTATTTTTTAGTTGATTTGCTACCATAGTTAAATAAGCCAATAGCAGCCCTCCATTGCATAATACTATCTATCCTATTCCTTGTTTCCCAAGCCAAGCCCCCTCCCCAGGCACCACCAACACCTTGGATGTTTTAATCATTGCTAACTAACCAGTGTATTAAACGCCTCTGACATTTATACCTGAATATAATTATATGTACTCCTAGGTGAGAGAGACATTCATTTTGCATTATGCTTATAGAGATACACTTGAATAGGAATATAGTAAAAGTTATGTCTGTTGGAGAAAACAAAAGACACGTATCCAGGTTCATCCATTTTGTTACATGACGTTCCGTCAAAGTAACTAGTTGTGGAACAGTGAAGATGTAGCTTTGACATTGCTTTTGAACCTAAGATAGGCCATTGGGACCATAACTGTATAACTCGAAAAAAGAAATAAGGCGTCTGACCTTTTGTCCATTGACTTAGCCTAAAGGTAACGTGAATTAGGGACGTTTGCCAATACAGCCAACAGTTTCCATCTTCGAATTCAAATGGACCAACTAAAACCTTGAGAATCAAGATGGCATTTTCGAAACTTCTTTATTTCTTTAAGCATCGCTCGCAGGAGGAAGTGAATGATTATCGCTTATATCAAATAGTGTTCACAGAACTTAGGGAAAGTAGTATTAAGCTCAATCTAGAACATTTATATTACTTTTTCCTCGTCCTTTTACCGGGGGGGGGGGGGTCTCCCAAAGTTCAGTGTTGGCATTGGGTCACACTGCATACATGTGATAGATCTCTATAAGGCTTATAGGACCATATAGAATGAACACCACTATTAGTCCGCATTCAGTCAAATTTATAGTTCTATTAAATAAATGCTATATACATGAATAGATGTCCCTGAATACAGTGTCTCTTTGGGCTTTGATGGGCATGGTGGGTCATTTAGTACAGTAAGTTGATGGAACAAGTTGACATGGGCAGCTTGAAGTTCATTTCGTTTCACTGCAGAAAAACAGCGCATTCATACACTGCTTAATTTTGAGTGATTCGGCCACTAACTATGGAGCTCTTCATGGGGGAGGAGATAAAACCATGACAAAAAATTCAATGTACCGATTTTAATTATTTTTCTCTGGTGGGTACATAACATATTGTGCTTTGAAGTAAGGGTGATAATTGAACATAAATTCGATGTGTTTTTTTCTTGAGGACATTGGAAGTAAACATTTTGGCCTATGGCAAAATAATTGTGGTGTGTATTCACATGAATCCAACTTACTGTTGTCCGCCATTTTGAATATCACATTAGGGGAATCCCCTAATACCAAGCACATGTAATACCAAAGAATTATGGGAGCTACTCACTTTCTTCTAGCCCTTGAATTATTACTGTAACCGGTCTCAATGACTCCAAAGGCGGCATGAAAATCATCAGTAACGACGAGATGTTCTCGTGTGAGACCTTAACCCTAGAAGCCCTAAGGCTAAAATAGTCACACGAACACCTAAGGGGGGGTCAAAAGGGCACCCCCTTGTCAAATTTTTATTAGAAGAGCTAGGATGTTCAAACTTTTTCCACATATACTTTATTCAATTATCTACAACTTGGTGTAAAAACTTTAACAACTACGATGATGTAAGATTACGTAATTTTATTCGTAAGACAACACGTATGGTAGAATTAGTGCTAGCTTTTATCTGATTTTGTCAATTGGAGCCGATGATTACATCATAATAAATTAATAACTAATTAGTATAGCTAGGATGTTCAAACTTTCCCAAAATATACTTCATTCAAGTATCTACACTTTGGTGTAATTACTTTAACAACTATGATGATAGAAGATTGTGTAACAGTGTAATCTTATTCTAAAGATAACACATATGGTAGAAATAGTGCTAGCTTTTTCCGATTTTGTCTATTGGAGCTGATGATTACATCATAATAAATCAGTTACCCTATCTTCAATTTTGCTGATCTTTTCAGAAAACATTATTGTTATATCTGTAGCTTCAGCTACTGAAAATTTGAAGACCCTACCAGATGGCAATAAAAAGTTATTTGGAAAAAATTAACAGGGGGGGTCATTTTGACCCCCCCCCCCCCTTAGGGCTTCTAAGGTTAATGGACGAATAGACGCACTAGACAAAACAAATAAAAGTAATGCACGGCTTAGTGTAAAGAACATTTAATGGCTGTTCATTCTTAGGTTGATGTTTAGGCTAGTAAATGAAAATGTAAAAGTGTTGAGAACATATGTTTTATCAAATTCAATTTCTATTTAAAATTTATAAATGTAACCTTTACATTATGCTCATGTTCACTTAAACTGTCAAAGATATTCTAATATGAAGAACTAGAAAATGGCAACTCCACGGAGTAGCAAATCCCAACGAACACTATATAAACCATGAATCTAAACAGTCACAATGTCATATTTACCATCTACTCTTCCTTCAATATATATTTGAGATCATTATTATTTTTGTTTAAAACGAAAAACATAGATTTTTGCAACTGACGGCCATCTTGAAAAAAATTGCATAAAACTATACACCGATTTACATCTTTCCACCAAATATTAAGAAAATCTGTCAACTTGTATTCGAGTTATCTTCCGGACAGACTGACTGACCGACTGACTGACGGGCGGACGGACGGCTTCACTTTATCCCTACTGAACTTCCTTCGTTGGGATAATAAGGTATCATTAATAGGATAGGCTCTCTGAGTAAGCAGTTAGGTCTACTTTAACTATTTAGTCTAACGTGAATGGTGTCTAGTTCTGTGTTCGTGCACCAGGATGGGAAAACCAAATATCACGAACAGAAACCTGTCAATACATGCAATAAGACCACTCCTCAATACGGAATATCAATTATTGACTTGAAAACTACTAAATAGTAACATAAAATGTCAAGTGTACTGTAGATTAACGTGACCTCCAAACGCATAAAAGGTTCGATGAGCGAATTAAAATAGTATATTGTAGATACAAGACGCAGCTGCTTACTAGTACTTGTACAGTAGTAATTGATTTAAACAACTACATTTTTGGTGGACCTTGGAACTCGCAACGTAAAAGATTGCAATGGGTATGTGTATTGTATTTCTTTTAAAGAGATTTATGTTTTTAATGTTCTTTGTGTCGTCTATTCGCAAAGATCCAATGCTTATTCGTTGTGAAAGTGAGTTAGCAAAAACGATTTGAAAAGCAGTTTAGAGGTTTTGAGTCTTGTGCCTTCTAACAATAAAATACTTAGATCAAATGAATAAAGGTACTTGGGTTTTTGAAAAGGGAGTTATCCCGAGGGATCTACATGTATGTTCCCGGAAGACAAGGGGGAGATGTAGATGTTTCCCTGTTAAAAAATACCAACCTCACATAATTAATCATATGAGGCTACACTATGAACGGGTTCCTCGAAATGACGATATTCGATCATCAATTATATTAAAGTCAGCTCACTTGTTTATCATTTACAATAGTCCAATCAGTATCAATCAATTTAATTTGCTCGGAGATTTCTATTGAAAAGAATGAATCTGTTAACACAAACATATTCAAAACTCTAAAATTGTAAGGAGGAAAAAGATTGACCTATATGTGTAACAGTATAATAATGACATATCATAACATAAGAAACACTATTTTAATACACTTTATCACTGAATTCCCGGGCCTCAGATTTCACTAACACAAAATTATCACCAAACAAGTAAATGATAAAAAGACAAAAATTAAGAAGTTTAAAACTTATCCATATTTTTCCAGATGAATTAGACAACAAATTGCTTCTTAAAATTGGAAAGGATTTGGGTTTGAAATATGAGGATTTGGCCACTGTACTTGATATCTCCAATGCAGAGATTGAAAACATAAAAATGAGTAGTCCACATAGTGCAGGACAATGGGGATTTAAAATACTTTTAAGCTGGAAGCAGAGGCAACCAAGGAGTGTCAACAAAAGGAAAGTACTGGCTGATGCCCTCAGAGAGGTATATAGAGATGATCTTGCTGGGCTTGTAGATGGTAACTTTAAACCTAAAAGTAGAAGCACCACAACTAAAGCTGTAATACCACAGCAAGAAGTCACCAGACAGCACACATCAAGCATTGTTGAGCCGAAAACAAAGTATACAGCACGAGGTGTTCCACCAACTGGAAGTAAGTTTAAATTAATTTATGATCCTACCTGATTAAAGATTTTCGAAGCTTCAATTCAAAACGACTAAAATAAGTTGCTGTAACATTAAAAGTGTGTTCAATAAGGAATGATATTATCAATATATCTCCCAGTTTGTATATGTTTGAGTTTTACCTGGTGTATTGAAATCAGCTTTGCGCTCTTGTGTGGACCTTGGCTCAACCATTTTGCATTATCATTACATTGTTCCAGGTGGATCAGATAATCCAGAAGATACTGATAGTGAAGAAGGCAATTCAGATGATGACTCAACCAAGGAGTTCTTTGAAAAATGGCGTAACCACGATGGGGTAAGTAGCTCGGTGCCACACAAACACACTTGCAAGACTGAGCGATGATAATGTGTCAGACCAGCAACAGTACTGTACTTAAGTCAGCTAAACCACATTTTTGTAACTACAAAATAGCCAACAAAACATAAGATATAGTTTAAATAGTAATGCCTTGTGGCGAGGACGATCGACGACCGTGTTTATTAGCTAACATAACATCATAACATATAGACAATCACACATCAATATAGAGGATCACACCGAGTGATCTTCATTGCACCGAGCAATCTAAAGGTCTCACACCTTGCTGCTATGTTACAGCACTTTGTTCTAAACCAGAACAGCATAAATTATCAAAATTAAGTAATAGCTGTATATCTTATCAGCTCCCATCAATCTCCAACTAATATAATCAGTGTAACTCACTCCTATGTTATCCAATATAGCTGTATATTTAATCAGCTCCCATGAATCTCCGATGGGTTAAATCTCCATAACAGTAAGAACAAATATTTCTATGCGCCGAGCAATAACGTTGTACAAAGCAACAAATCTGATCAGTGTAACCCACTAAGTTATCCAAAATAGCTGTATAATTAATCAGCTCCCATGAATCTCCGATGGGTAAAATTGTCCATTCCATTAAGAACAAAAATTTCTATGCACCAAGCAATAATGTAGCACAAAGCAACTGCTATAGTAATGCACAACTTTTAATCTTATCCAATATAGCCGTATATCCTGTCGGCTCCCATGAATCTCCGATGGGTATAGCTCTACTTAGCTGTAAAATCAAATGTTTCAATGAACTGAGCAATCTTGAAGTACAAAGCAACTTAAACAGTAGTTATTACAGTAACTTGCTTTACAATAAAGAAATGGCGTATAAAGTAAAGGATCCAGAAGACGTTTGTTTCAAAAACTGAACCTTAGATGCAAGCCTGACAATCTTAAGACTTGACTCAACTTCTCGGAGACCCATCCTGAAAACCTATCATATTATACTTTTTATTATAGGATACAGGAGGTCTGACCTCACCGAACTGAAGTAGAGATAAACAGAGGCCAAGTCTACACCTAGTTATAAATGAGCTTGAAAATTATGTTAAAATGAACTACAGTACATTAATTTGCGTAAAATTAAGATTTTAAAAGTAAATTGTTGGTCGTCCACTCGCTTAGCTGAGAATGACCTTACCTATTCATTACGTACTTATCCCCAATATCTATACACTCAACAGAATCAACGAACCATGAAACGTACAAACCCCCCTTACAACTTGGTACGCATAAAAACAAAAATCTCGTCTCCAGCAAATCTTAAAGTAATTTTCTCACTAATTCGTACCTCAAACGTTAGAAAAATTATTTAAGTCAGCTAAACCACATTTTTGTAACTACAAAATAGCCAACAAAACATAAGATATAGTTTAAATAGTAATGCCTTGTGGCGAGGACGATCGAGGCTAAAGAAGAGAGGATGTGAACAAATACTCACAGTCCAAGACTTAAAGTAACGCTTAACCTTTGTTTGATATCACTTTCTATGTAGCCATCTTTGGCCGTTTCACTTCTCCATCTGCCATGAGCTTTGAATAAGCGATCTGGGACACCATTGTTAGCTGCGACGCTAGCGCCGCCCGCTCTTAAAGAATGCAACCCAAAGTTTGAGCTATCTACTCCAATTTCTTTCAAAGCGAACTTAAACATATCCCTACAAGTAGTATAACTGAGAGGCTTAGTGTTTTCTCTAAGTTGATGTTTGCCTTTTGATTTACAATACGACAGACCTCCGAAGATAAAACTTTCTGAACTGGTTGTGACTTCCAATGAGTTCATATAACGCAATAACAAAGCGTAAGGACATGTTTCGTTGTTGGTCCTTGCTATCAAAACATTAGCTCCATTACGGTAGCAATCTGTTTTTGATTTTTGTATGAAAACATCTAAGAATGAATCCTTGAAAACAAAGTCTGAACATCTAAGTCTAGAAACCTCATCAAATCTTAGAAAGGCAGCGAAACTTATTACAATGAAAGTTGCCGTTCTCAAATCTGAAATCGATGAGCTCTCCTTAGCAAATCTATGCACGATTTTTTCTATCATTTCAACTGTTATAGGTGCTTTCTTTGAAATTTTGTTATGCTTTTGACGTGAGGCCCCTTCAGTAATAATTTTAATGAGTTGATGCTCACAGGGATTAGGCAAACATGCTAAATTGTGTGCCCACGCTATACTGTATTTAGCAGCAATAATTTGACTGTAGCTGTAAGAAGTTTGCCAGATACTCAACAAATAAATGGAAACGTGAATATGATTTGCTGGTAAAGCGTGAAAAGTAAGCCCGTAGCACCAGTTTTTAAAACGTTCAAAACCTGACTTGTACTTTGTAAGTGTCTTGTTTTCTCTGCTCTTAAAGGCCAAATCCATCATTTCGACGGGAACGCCCTTTAAAGTGTCATTACTACTGCAAACGTCTTTCACTTGCGTCCATGTTTCGCTGCTGAAGATATCTACATCTTGAACTGAAAGTAAAGGAAACATCGAATATTTTAAAAGCTATACAGATTCACTCACATACAACTGTACCGAGATATGTCCACATTACATATTGTTCACTGATCCTCTGAGATCATAATCAGTCATGACTGATCCTTAAAGCGAGCAGCTCGCTTGAAAATCCCTGTGGATTATTAAAGATACAGTTTTTCTGTGAGCCAGTAACAAAATAATGACCACCGCGTGGAAATTCTATCACCTGTTTTATGCATGGGTGATAACGTATACCATCATGAATCAATGGCCAATACACAGCCGATTTCCACTTTGGCACAACCAGAGTACCCTTTGCTCTCTGTTGGACTATATACCTGGATGTTTTAGCTACCATGCAGCATGGTGGTACAAACCAATTGTTGTGAAGCTTCCAGCTTTGTGTGAATGCATCTGCTGCTTGTGCTTCGGGACTGAAATATCTTGAATTGAAACATTGCAACTTGCTGTTATGTACATTTGCGAAACGATCTATAGTAAATGGACCCCAAAGTGCATTCAAATAATTGAAAACATTCCAAGTAATACCCCAGTCATCAAAGTCTGTGATCTTACTGATCTCATCTGCCCTTTCATTCAGATTTCTGGGTATCCACTCTATACTCACTTGTACATTTCGCATTTTGCACACTTGATGAATGCACAATGCAATGCTCTGAAGTTCTTCCTTCATGCTACCCTTTTGAATTATAGATGCGACATTTTTATTATCAGTAAACCACTTGATGTTTTGATTTTGAAGAAGATGGATTAATGATAACAAAGTGTTCAAAACTGCCACGAGCTCCCTCCAAGTACTGCTCTTTCTAGCTTGACCTGGTGTCCACAGATTGTGACACACTTGAGTTTCAAAGTTGACTACGTACCCACCATAGCCTGTATTGCTAGCATCTGAGTAAACTACCTTGGAATGTTTATCATCTCTCTCAAGTGACATACCATTGTATTTTCTGAGATTATCTATCCAAAATTCTAATTCTGCCCTAGCATTGTTTGGTAACCTAATAAGTACATCCCAGTTTGATTTGCATGCTATAACAACTTGCAGTGATCTTGTTTTCAACAGACACAAGTCGCCTACTGCGTGTCTTAAAGCTACCAGTTTACCTACTACTGCTGCAACGAATCTCGCTGTAGTACAATTTGCATGCTTTAATAGACTACCTACCCTTTCCAGCACATCTAACAGTTTTTTCTCTGGAACTTTGATATTTCCTTCCATCAAATCGATGTCAAAACCCAACCATTTTTGTCTTTGACTTGGTTCCCATCTGGATTTTTTATCATTTGGGATAAACCCGGCTTTAACCAAAGTTGTTCTTACCAGTTCTGACTGTATTTCGCATTGAGCTTTATCTACATTAAAGCCAACGGCATCATCCAAGAACGCCACAATTTTCAAGCCCTTTCCCCTCCAATGCTTGATTAGTTGTCTAACAACCTTAGTAAAGATATGACCCCCCGTTGAGATTCCAAAGGGTAAAACATTGAATTCCCAATAACGTTGTACACCATCTATTACCCAAGAGAACCCAAGGTATTTTTGATGAGCTGGCAAAATATCAATGTGGTGGTAGCCGGATTTTATGTCAAATACAAACATGTATCCCCCTGGTAACAAATACTCTTTTGCCACCGACAGATCTTCAAATTTAATTCTATCCAATTTGACAAAGGGATTAACATGTCTGAGATCAAGGACTAATCTATTCTTTTCTGAACCTAATGCTACTGTAAGTGGGTTAACAACATGGGAAGGACTGTATACCTCTGTTATACACCCTTCTTCCAAAAGTTTTTGTATTGACTCTGTTACAAATTCTTTGTTTTTTAAAGCAGACTGGTTATTCTTAAGAAAAATTCTAGGTGGTTCCTTATCTAACGGAATGATATAACCATTTTTAATGGTGTTTACTACAAAATCTGAGGTTTCTATTTCTGACCAAAAGTCAACATGATTTTTCAAACTACCTTTAACAGAAATGCCAGAATGCTTACTTAACTTTGAGTCTTTAGCTGTTCTGGTTTTGGTTGCTTCCATTTTGGTATTGCTGCGTGAACTGCTGTTGCTGTTGCTGCTTGGACCAGCACTCAGGGGCCCAGTGCCCGACGGACCCGCAGTTCCGGCAAATGTCGTTGCCTCTGGAGTTCGATGTTCCGGCTTGTTGAGTGTTGGGCCATGAGCGCTGTTGACCCTGTTGCCACTGCCACCTGTTGCCAGTATTGGGTTGGCGACTTCTATCTTGCCTGAAATTAAAGCTTGAAGCGCCAGAATTGTGAAACCTAGTATTTCTAACGCTTATTTTGCGTTCTCTGACTTTTCTACCTGCGTTAAACCTGGCGCTTTTAATCTTTTTATCATCTTCGTCGTTACTTGCGTAAGCGTCTTTTACATATTCTTCTACGGCTAACCAACCGTGTTTAGAATCATCAGCAATTTTAATGCATTTATTTCGATATGTAATAAGTTTCATACCTTCGTCCAGCTTTGCTAGTACTTCTGGGTGAGAGTCCCCCAACATATCGGAAGCGTCTTTGATGGCGTCGAGAACTTCGTTGTTGAATTCAAACTGTTTTTGGTGTTCCTTTTTGGACATTACGGGTTCAGTCTTTGCCTTTTTGGCGACCTTCTTTGTATCATCTAGCAATTCTCTCTTGTAATTTGCCAATTTATTATCTAAAACACTTTCTAAAAGAGTTTTTATATCGTCTCTGTCCATGTTGTAAGTTGTGCTACTTATTTCGTACACGTGGCAAGATTTTAAAAGTAAATTGTTGGTCGTCCACTCGCTTAGCTGAGAATGACCTTACCTATTCATTACGTACTTATCCCTAATATCTATACACTCAACAGAATCAACGAACCATGAAACGTACAAACCCCCCTTACAACTTGGTACGCATAAAAACAAAAATCTCGTCTCCCGCAAATCTTAAAGTAATTTTCTCACTAATTCGTACCTCAAACGTTAGAAAAATTATTTCCCTCCAAAAGGTTGTAAACCTAAGTAGCATCCTCATTGAGCTACATGTACGTGTAGAAGTCTCTCTATGTTTGAACGTTTATTTACATAATCTGTATAGTAATGAAAATGACGAAGGTGAAAAGTCTTTAGTTTACTTTGTGAACAAAAAATTTAAAGAAAATCATTTTCGCCTCTTGTACCGTAGTACTTTGGAGACATACAAAATAGATTTGATAAACGATATAATCAGTATTGATATACATACTTATACAGATGTACCAGGCAAGACTGAGAAAGATAACATAGTGTGGTGAATTCATTCTGATTTATCGGAGTCTCACTTTATGTATCTTTGGTGAGTATTCCAAAGGAACTTGCCTTGGATCCCACAATGTAGTGAACTTAATTGCATAGGATAATAGCATTTAATTAATGATGAACGGAATTGTTATATTTCAGGTCTATATCAATTCTTCAACTCCTAGAGGGCGATGTTTAATCATCAACAACTTCAAATTTGAACCAGAAATGCGTAACCGGTATGGAACAGAACATGATTTGAATAGCCTAAAAGATCTATTCACAAAATTCAAGTATACAGTAACTGTAAAGACTGACCTTACTGCTAGAGATATAAAAGACACATTAAACGAAGAAAGTAAACAAAGTATGCACGACATGTATGAGTCATTTGTTCTTGCGATTCTCTCACATGGCACTGTGGATGCTGTATATGGCGTAGATAATGAAACAGTACCATATAAGGAGATTTACAACTACTTCAACGGAGAGAACTGCAAAAGTCTAATTGGCAAACCCAAGATCATCATTATCCAAGCTTGTCAGGGCAGTAAGTATTATTGTGTATTAGTTTGATTATTAGATTAATCTGTCTCTGGATTAACTCAATCGTATCATAATCTTAACATTTAATTCCCGAGGACTGCCTGTAATGGGATATTTAACGTATCAAGAACAATTACTTGTGGCAGCTACAAATGGCCACGCAATACTTGTTACAATATTTAAGTGCTGTTCGAAATTGTTTAAAAGCTTCAAAATAATTGTTCAAAAACATTATATTTCATTGAATAAAGCAGACGCTCTGAAACAATCTCTGTAACATTATTTACATTATTTCAGAAGATGAAGATGGTGGAGTTGTACCCGATGGTGGTGAGGTTAAGCAAGATGACAATGTTGACGCCTCTTCTCCTAGTCCCTCTGATCTAATGGATGAGAAAGATTATCCCGATGGAGCACAGAAATCACCAACCATGGCAGACTTCTTTATAGCTACTGCAACAACACAGGGTATTTACATTTCAATAAATCGTAAATATTGTACCCCGACCAAGATTCGACTCAATTATATTTCGCGCTTTGCGATTTATCAAATTTCGCAGCTATAACATTTCGCTAATTTTCACTTTTGCAAATCTCGCGAAAATAACAAGGAGTACAGTAATGCAAACAGTACCAATGAAGCACAATCATGTTCGATAGCAGGTTTCTTATAATGCGAGCTGATTGGGAGCTGATGTAATTTAAATATTAGTCTTAAGATCTTCGATAAATGCATTTTATACAACGACTATGTGTGTGGTACTAAAATCTTCCTTACATGCATTTATCTCTCTGAGGAAAGTACTGAGGTAGCCAATCAAATAATGTCAGGAAATACTATTTCTGATTTAGCAAGGGCCTTCATAAAATGATCTTGGGCTCTCCTTGCAGATTATGTGTCATGGCGCAACACACAAACCGGAACCTGGTTTATTCAGGCCTTGGTTCATATCTATAGGAAATATGCTGGTAAAAAGGATATCAGTGCCATGTCCTCCAAGGTATATATTCGATAATTTTCGATAACTTCTCTATTTAATTTCTCTATCCATCTTCTGTAACTTATCCAGAGATTGTAAGCCTTGTACGTATCGTTGACTAAGATTGAAACTAACCACCAACGGTCAGAAGTACATTGGAGCGACCAACAGTCAATATTATTGACTTAATTTATCAATTAAAATCGAGTTTTGTATTTAGACTGAGTTATTAACAGTGTTAAAAATACTAGGCTAATTGTAAGTACACATACCTGAGTTAGTTACTAAATTTTACAAAGCATCTCATACAGAAATAGAACTAGACTAAATCAATTGAAATATCAAACGTTGCAGCTCTCATGCTACAACAATATGACTCGTAAACTTGTTTTTATGAAACGAGTCTAAATGACTATTTTTAGGGGGTTCCATCTTAGTTTTGGGGGCGTATTGTTGTTTGACGACGAGGATATTATTACTTTTTATTTATCTTCTAATTTCAGGTCAACAGTCTCGTAGCATCAAAAACCAGTACAGCTGGCAAGAAACAAATTCCCGATTTCCGCAATCGGCTGAGAAAGAAATTTTATTTCTTCCCTGGCCACTGAATCTAAGAGACTCTTGATCATTATTTTGAGTTATTTCTCATGAAACGTACAAAATAATGTATGAATGTTTGAATAATGGGAAGTCGCATAACCTTCTCTTGAAAGCCCATGAATTGTAAAACCGATGGTTAGGCATGTTTCTTTCTGGACAATCAACACATAGTCTTGCTTAAGACTCCGGACCCCCCACCCCCCCTCTCAGGTACATACTTACATTGTCATAGGGGGGGGGAGCGCACACAGTCTTGAAGCAAGACTATCAACACAGAACTGCCATTCTATATTTTACAACAAATGCACGCATTCGGTTAATAAAGGAACACAAGTAATGCAATACTAGTACTGAGATAAGGAAATATACATTCTTTGTATTTGAATTCTTATGGACATAATATGTAAAGAAACTATTTAACTATTTAAAGGGCTGGAAATATAAACTTAAATTGGCATAAATTCCAATACCTCCAATTTTTTCTCATTTTTTCACCATTTATAATAAGTCTGAAATTACTGACACTTTCTGGTAGATTTTTGAAAATCAACATCCACACGTAAACCGATGACAAAATATCCGTCTATGTATACAATTTGAGTAGACAGTTGAATTTGCTTACTTTTAAATAGACTCAAGGTCCACGACGTTAATCATATGTCTCCATAGTCATTAAAAATGATTTTCAAAATAGACTGTGAAGTTCGGCAACCTAAATGTTCACAAAGCAAACTAAACACTTAGCATACGATTTTCTTTACAAAATTATTTAATTTAACGTAAACCATTTTGCATTTGTTTAAATGAGGACGATTTTCAAAATTCATCAATTTTCGACCTGTAATCTGGTAATTGAGGGGAAATGAGAAAATTTGGAGGTATAGGATATAAAGTTAAGTTATTTCCCCACCTCCATCATAATTTTTTTTATTGTGGGTTATATAAATAAAAATTCAAATATTAAGAGGATTTAACACGTTGTCCAATGGGGGAGCCGACGTTGCCATTAGCCTATGTGTTTATACATAATCATAAAACTGTTATAGCTAGGCAATTGCAAAGATGTACTACAAAATCGTTTGCAGTGAAAAAATAGAATTAACCTAAACACTGTTTCTTAATTTGTGATTCCAAAATAGTTACAAATGTCTAGCCGTTTGTATATTTTATATTTTTATTACTCTTTTCTTCGGTTATTCCTATAAATGTTGTATTTTTAAAATCTAAAATGATCTACGAGGGGTGATAAATAAGTACTGGACGTTTTTTTTACACAGATGCTTTTTATAGACCAATCCCTTCGATTTTCGATTTTCTTACCAGTGATACATCATTCAATTATCTATCAACTCTAAAGATTTGAAAACAAAACATGTAATATATTTTGATATATCTTTATTTCCGTGAAGGATGTGTAGGTACCCTGGGACCGACATGACGTCAAACATTCTGAAGCTATTTTAGCTTGTTTAACATGCAATGCAGGCTGAACAAAACTAACCATTATGGTCATGAATTACCCCATTTTGTAATGCCATGGTTGATGTTGAATATTTTATCATCACTATGTGGTATTCATACCACCTTCATTCCACAGGGCCCTCTACATAGGTTCCATCAAGTATTTATTCATCTTATTTAGGTGGATATGAAGAAATAAAATCATGAACACTTCAATAGCAGTCAACAGTAAAATGGACACTTCGGTCAACAGTCAATACTGTTAGTCCGTCAGTGAAGTGCTTGATTCTAATTTGTTAAAAGAGCTTACCTTATATTTTCTTTGAGCAAATGAAACAATTAAAGAGCCTCTCTACGAAAGACCGTCGAAATGATATCCATCCTCTGTAAATCTCGACCCACGGTCTTGGTTTACAGTGTCTGGGCGTAATTAAGCAAAATAATTAAACATCAAAAACAAAATGATTTACGTAGCTTCAGCCAGCATCTTTCGAGTAAACCAAGAAGAAATTATGGTTTTACTAATTAAGACAGTTACCAAGTTAAAGTACTTCTACAACCATATTCAGCTTTCTCATGCGGGTCCTATGAATGCGACCATGCCCCGAATGAATTTTTTCCATAAACACGGAGTTCTAAGATGAGGGTCGCGCGAACTGGGTTTCGGTATCGGCTATGTATTTATTTAATAAAACAGCAAAACAAACGTCCTGTGTCACGTGATCTGACATGCTATTTTATTGGTTTTAACCTAAACAATATATAAAAGATCTTTCTATCTGTTGAAGTAATTAGAAAGAGTTTAGTGTCTTGGACTATCATATCAAATCAGAGTTTATCATTTTGGAACATATAATGATGATAACGTTACCTAATTTGTCAAATAGTTTGAGTAATAGGGAAAACGCGAATACGATGGAAATTTCAGCTGAAGTTTTAAAAAAATATTTATACGGAAAAGAAGTGAATAAACGTGAAAAAGACCGACATAGAGTTTTAAATATTATAAAAGGTATGTTACTTTTAATTAATTGTTTAGATCAGCTAGTTAAATTAGACAAAACACAATTAGTCACAAATTGGGCGTTTTATTTTATTATGTTACGGGAATACGGGAATAATTACAAATACGATGTGTATTTCTAGGACATAACACAATATTTTCGATGAAAGGGGTCGGTTATAATTGCACAGAATGCATACAGATCTGGATTTATATTATTTCATCTGTGTGAATAGGCATAATTTTAATTAATTACTTTACGAATATCCTTAAAATATTATATTTATGTCTATCATGAAGTAATTGCTATAATATAAGTGATTTGTGCTTGAAATTAAATGCTTTTTAAAAAAAAATTTAGTCAGCCTTTTTCATCCCCGTTTCTCTTTAAATATCGGTATATTAGCTTAGATCATCATTACATTATATATTCAGTACCGCGGACCAAAGGATATCACCACCCCCTCCCCCATAACCAATATATACCAGCAGATAGAAGAAAAGAGCTTTGAAATCATTTTTGTAAAATTCAAAACAAATCTTAAAAAAATTTCGGCTCGCTAATGCCACGATCGCAAGAATACGCTCTTTTACCCGAAAATTATTCAAGCTTTCAATGGATTCTGAAAAATCGATTCTCGGGAAATATGGTGTAGTCAATTACAAATGTGTTTGGTTTATTTCTCCATTGATAAAATATTTGAGAGGGTGATAAAAACGCGGAAATCGATGATTAATTGGAAACTATTTCATGGAAATGATCATATATGTCTCTAAATACTGTATATGACCAACGGTGTATTTATATTTGCAATTGACTGTAAAAAGATTTCAGTGAACTCTAAAAATAAATTTACAGAAATGGGTTCATTTACTAGTAGATTAATAAATATATCATAATCGACGATTGGGGGCCAACAAGTGGATAGACGAAGGAACAGACTTGACAATCGATAATTAGTTTTTGATGATCAAATTAAAGCAAATTGTTAAAGAAACAATCGTAGCATCGGGTCACGTGTTAGACATGCGGGTTAAACATGATGCATAAAAGGCGATTAGAAATTAATTTAAAAAGGTACATTAAAAGGCAATTTGAGGATGTCGTAAACAAAGAGATACCAAATCGAGAAGATTCCTCAAGACCAATAAATAAGAAATAAAAAGACAGTAACTAAGAGGCGCATGATTCTGAATAGCTCACAAACAATGAGACACTCTCTTTATTAAAGTGCTAATGGAGTGACAAATGATTAAATATTTTTTATAAGAAATCGTGTTAAAATAACGTTTAAAACCAAAATTAGCATAGATGAATAAAAAATCCACATATCATCTCCGAACTGTCATTTGGATTATGTCCCGTAATCCATTTCTCCACTACCGTACACTACAGGGCTCATTAAGCGCCTGGCATACGGGTTCTTAACATTCGCACATAAAATTCATAAATCACTGATCAACAGGGACGGAATTAACACATTTCTTCCCATTAAATACACATAGTATTCTACAGTCACGTGTCTCTTATAACAAGTCAGGTATGTGATTTATGGCTAGAGATTACCGATTATTGACTCCCATTGTTTCGGTAATTAACGTTAAGAAATGCTGGCTTATTAAAGAAAATAGTTTGTGGTTAACACATCAGCGAGTTATGCAGGTAGCAGGTTGGCAATGACATGACATAACTACTGAAACATTTTATAGATTTTCGAAATATTCTGTATGCTCATTCACATATTTGATTTTAATTCATTAAAACTAGGCCTATGTCATATATACTGCATACTTGTATCACTGAATATCAAAAGTATTGAAGTATTTCTGCATTATGTACTATGCTTCGGTTGCATATTCACTATTGCTGATATTTGATATCAATTTGTCGATAAAAATGATATCATTCAAAATGAGCTGATATTCTGTTATACTTTAATTATTATCAGATTGTAATTGCATGTAAATTGGCTTATATTGTAATTGTGTGGATATGTCAGAGGCAATGCGCTGCTATTGAGAAATTGTAACATTGACACCTTAACACGTTGGTACACCCTGATCTTAATGACAAGTAACGTTGGTTCAAAAAAGTAAGACAAGATAACGCGTTCAATTTGAAGCTGTACCTGTATTGTCCAGTGATACCATTATAGCGTGCATTATATAATGTTCATAAATACTAGTAATACTTTTAATGAAATGCAGTGGTCTAATTTTTTATAGCCTATATAAAATGGGAAAATACCTCAGTCGTTTAGTAACATATCATTTTTTATATTCTTACTTCATCAAGGGGAGACAAAGGAGTGGTATCGATATGGTGAACTTTTTGAACACGCGTTTCTCTTAAAACAGTCATCAAAACATTCTGAAATTTTTACACATCCTCAATTTAATGGTCATCTTTTGGCTGGTAACATCTACCTGTCTACCCTTCTTGGTATCATATGTTCGGAATGAAATGAAACATTTATCCGAGCCTCATTGGAACAAAACGACATAAACACGACGTGTCTCTCAATATTGTAATTGTACAAAGGAAAGTTTGGTTGATTTTAAAAAAGTATCTTGTTAATGAAAAAAGGGTTTATCTTAATTTCTATCTATTGTGGGTAACTGGACAACTCGGACCCAGGACAACTCGGACCCTGGACAACTCGGAACCAAGACATCTCGGACCCAAGACAACTCGGGCCACTTTTTAAATTATGATTTTTATCATTATGTGTGGTTTTATTTTCATTTATGAAAATTAATACATATATTATATATTGTGACTTCATATTTAGTATTAATTTGATGAAAATGTTTTAATTTGACTTATTTGATGAAAGTTATGAAGGAAGACCAGTAAGAGAATATTGAAGCTGAAGACCCAAGACAACTCGGGCCATCTTTTGAAATTATAGTTGATTTAATTTAAAACAATTTCATCGAATTAACAAAATATATAAATTCACAATATATAATATATGTAAAAAAAACATTAAACAAAAAATTAGAACCGCATACAATGATAAAAACCATCATAATTTCAAAAAGTGGTCCAAGTTGTCTTGGGTCTTTAGCGTCAATAATTTCTTACATCTTAACTCTCATCAAAACATTAGTTTAAAACAATTTCATCAAATTAACATAATATATTAATTCACAATATATAATATATGTCAAAATAAACATAAAAAATAATTAAAACCAAATATAATGATAAAAATCATCATTTCAAAAAGTGGTCCGAGTTGTCTTGGGTCCGAGTTGTCTTGGGTCCGAGATGTCTTGGGTCCGAGTTGTCCAGGGTCCAAGTTGTCCTGGGTCCGAGTTGTCCGGAAACCCTATTGTGGGGGGTTTTGTTTTAAGTTTTTGCATACCTTTTGTTAAACCAAAATTTCCTTTGTATAACTATATAATATTGAGAGGTCTAAGAAAATGTTGTATATGCTATTTTGTTCCAACAAGGTTCGGAAAGACATTTTATTTCATTCTCAAGAATTGGTATAAAGGAACAATTGCAATAAAACAAAAAGTGTTAACAAAAACAGTTATATAAAATATTTATAAATCATTTTAGCATTAAATTGTTGCGAATCAGTCAACATTACATAAAGGACTGTGTTTTTTTACAGAATGTTTCCAATAATTGGTTTAAGAGAAAAACACTGTTGAATTCAGTTCACCATATCGATACCTATCCTTTGTTAATATCATTCTGAAGGAAAACACTTCATACATGCATATGATGAGGCCCTATCATAAAATAAAAATTAATTTAACAAAAAAAATGGAAACTGACAACCATTTTACTTCAGAACCACAAAAAATCGAATATTCATTTCACTTGATACTGAGCAACTCTCTTGTAGAATGTAGACCAAAACTTCCGATACAATTACGCATGGGAGCATCAAGGATTCCCGGCGAGTCTACGGGAATATTCGCAAACTCTTGGATAAAGCCGGGCACCGAGATGGGCCCATTCCTCGGCGAGATCATCTACCCGTCCCAGACAAATGCCCTACCGTGTAGCCGCAATACATGGGAAGTGTTCAACGACAGTGGCGGAGTGGAACATTGGGTACAGGCGAGTGATGAGGCCATTACCACTGCAGAAACGATCACAGTCAATGATGAAGAGTCTCTTAATGATCAAGAACCGTTGGATGATCGCAGTCGCAGAGATGGGGGTACACAATCTTGGTTATCTTACATTAACTGTGCCAGACATGAACATGAACAGAATGTGGAGGTCTACCAAGTTGGACATCAAATATACTATAGGACAACCAAGGTAAACATTAGAATTGTTCATATGTTTGAGTATCTCTGACGACGCCTGCCACCCTCCCTGAATCAAGCGCACCAAGAACATGAAGAATGATCTATCACTTTTGGCCACAGCAAGAAAACAATCATTTTCGAGTATCTTGCACATCTCTCCGGCACTACCAATCAAACCCACCAAGATAAATCCATCACTTTTGAAAACGGCTTCATCCTAATCCTAACACCATCTTCTGTTAAAGGAGTCATTCACGAGCGGTAGATTAGCATACTGAACTCGATATGCTTTAAAATTCCTAAAAATGTCGTCTGCTCTGTGTATGCAAGACGATAGTCTAGAGCATTAACTAATGGACCGTATTATTTCAGACACTTTCCCCAGACACAGAGCTACTGGTATGGTATAGCAGCAGACACCAACTATATTTAGGTATACCTGCCCCAGCTGACAGCACGCTGCAGGATGATACGCCAAGGTCTACAGGTAGGTTAGGTCCATTACCAGATTACTATCATAATGGGGTGTTCCTGGAGGGGTGTTCCTGGAGGTCTCATTCATGTTTATTACGGTGGGTTGCATCCCAACTTGTGAAAAATCAGATGTGTTTACAAAAGAACACGTATTTACCATTTTCTTAGTTTAAAATAAACATATTACAATCTGTACAATGTGATACAATTTTGATGATAACTCATTAGCCTAACATCCTCCGAACGCAGGGTTCCAGACATCATCCACGAGGCCTGTGTTCGGAGGATGTTAGCCTAAGGGATGTCCATCATTTCAAAGTTTGTCTATTTACAAAGAAGTATGGTTAAGTTACATTATTCGTTATTTTTCAGAAGATACAGAAGACAATGTGGGGAGAATGCGCTGTGTAGTATGCAGACGTGGCTTTAACTCTAGGAGTAACTTACGCTCCCACATGCGGATACATACCCAGGAGAAACCGTTCGTTTGTAGGTTTTGTCACAGAAGCTTCAGTCAGTCATCGACACTTAGGAACCACGTCAGACTTCATACAGGTAGAGTCCCTAATACAAGCCAATAAAACCATTCAGGATTTTGCCAAGCTTGTAACTGAGCTTTAATATATTGTGGATTCCTTTAACGTGGCCAAAGGGCATGACAGATCGGTACAGAAATACAATTCAAATAATAGAATGTTATGATTAGGGTCATGGGGCTCGTGGCATTGCACTTGGGGTTATACTTTTGTCAAATCCATTATGATGTCGATTATCATTTTTTATTTTATCACTACTCAGAAACCAAAAGAGGACCTGCACACGATCTCTGGTTTTTCTCATTGTCCGCTGTGTCCATGTATTGTATGACAAGTCTTAGAAAATGCGCGTTTTTAATATCTACTGTCAAACTGTCATCAATTACATTCCTGCTAGTTAAGAAAAATACTATAACAGGCTCGTTTATGCACTGTATTCGTATTGTGAGCATATATGTAACAGGACCTTAAATGGTCAGTTATTTTAAGTTATTTTAAGTTATAATTGAAAAGTGGATGATTCAAGTCTTGTGTTAAAATTACAGGGTGGTCCAAAAGAAGGTTTACAGAAAATTATTGAATAACTGTAAACCTACATGTGGGACACCCTGTATACCCAACCAAATTTATTTTCAGGTGAGAAGCCGTACAGATGCGTCGTATGCAAGAGTGCTTACTCGCAGCTTGCCGGACTGAGGGCACACCAAAAGAGCGCTAAACACAGACCTACATCAACTATGTCAACGCATATGTAGAAGACATATAACCTAAGAACAGCATGAGAAACCTTGTCAAATAGAAATAGGCCAACTAAAAAGCCGAATGAGAGGAATAACATTTGATCTAACTTTCCCTTTTAGCTGTTAAGTACATGTAGCTTAATGAGGATTATTTTGTCCTTCGAATTTTAACCAGGGTTGACGGACGATACGCTATTCTACTAGACACACGATTCACAGTCCGAAGCAATCATACTTTGATAGTGAATATGATATAAGGGCTATTACATTGTATGTTGCGTTCACCAGCCATTAAATATCAAGACAAACCAAGACTACATTAAGTCTAACATACTCAAAATAAATGCGGACTCACCAATATAACCCAGGGGTCTTTTGAGGCACTTCCAATAAGGACCAATGGGCGTTTATTTGAATTTTATAGTTTCATAATTGCACTTTATTTGTTGCCATTAGGATTGATATTTATATTGCTATTGAATACACATCCATAGTATTTCCATCGAACAAATGGCAGCACAGAATGAGCGTAAAATGTCGGAAGAAATCTTCTAAAAAAAAGTATACCACTCTTACAATAGGATTTGAAAAGTTCATTAAAATAAAAAGGGAAGTTCACCTATTCAAAATCATTGTCAAATAACCTGAATAGCATAGCGGTATCATGAAACCAAGAGAATAGTTTAAGCAACTACGTACGTAATACGTGCGACACGAAAGTTAATCTCCACACATCTCGGTGAATATTGTATTATCTATTTATCTAGTCCAGGTCGCTTTAACTGACCATCCTCCAAAATCGACTTTTTTAACATTGATTTTAAGTTTATGTAAAGGTGGCAGTGTTATCGGTCTATTTGTAAATAGAATATATTTAAAGATGGCAGGTAATGTATATATTTCAAAATCAAACGTCATTCACGCTTTATCATGCTTATGGGCGGATTTTACTACGCAAACCTTTACTACTTACACTAATATTGCCACTATGTGCTAACATCCACCATTGAATCTATCTATGGCCAACTTCCCGGGAATTTCTTGAGCATATTACACTGTGCACCCCCGCACACATGCCCGGATATTCCTCAATTATTCCGCCATTTTCCTTCTGTAAAGTCGGAAATTTTAGAATCGCAATAAATTTACAAATAACTTGTGACTATGGACACGGAACTAGGAAGTTAGTTGTTCTACAGGTTCATCAGTTACAAATGAAAGTAAGAGGACGAGGAAAATAGATCATATGGAACTATAAGACAAGTTTTCAAGGTTTTTTCTTTGGGTTGTTAGTCCACAAAGAAAACATCTGATATAAAAATGTCGAAGATCTTACCTCGTTCGTTTTTTCTTTGCTTGCTCCATATAGGGTCTTCAGTCCCGACATGAGATTATAGTAAGCATATGGAAAAGGTCTCTAGTGTCGATTGACCTTTTTCCAGACAATTTGTCATATATAAATGACAATTTCACAGGGGTCATTAGACCATCAGAAGACATCATGTACAGAGAACGTAATATTACATGTTCTTCTCTGTGTTATGTTACATGAGAGGTTTTCAATCCAGATAAGAAAGTAAGGAAGCCCGAAGAAGGTAGACACTGTGTTTATGCCTACAGTACCCTGCCTTACATTGAGGTCTTTCTTTTGGTTGTCAGTCCATAAAGAAAACATTAACTGTTCAAGTTTACATAGCTCTCAATTCTTCGTCTCTGTATTTATCACATAAACGTGTTCAGTTCCAGATGAATATGAGAAATTTGAAAAATATCTACATCTACATCTGAAGATGGCTTCTTTACTGCTGAGGTGTTTTTGGTTGTTAGTCCACAATAAAAACACATATGTGTTCAGGAGAACGCAGACGAAATGGCTTCTTTACTGCTCATGTGTTTTTTGGTTGTAAGTCCACAATGAAAACACATACGTGTTCATTAGAACGCAGTTATCATCTCTTCTTTATGCATAGATTATAAAAGGACTCCAGTCCCGATATGAATTATGTAAACATGAAGAAATAAATACACCAGTAAATTTGTCTTTCGGGATTTGACATGTGTCGAGCATAGACTGTATGATCCTAAGATGAAGAAGATATTTCTTCATCTTACAGTAGCGTGATCACGATGATGTTCAGATGAAGACACTTGGTTCACATACATTTAAATGTATTTAGAAAATAACATTGTATATTGTAAAACCTGGTGTAGTATGCATACATAGAACACGTATGCTGACCACAGAATAATTAGTTTATTTAGTCCATTTAGTTTTTATACTAGTTATGCGCAGCAGGATAAGTTTGTCACTTATGCATTTGGTACAGTTATTTCTGGACTGAGTTGTTTGTCTACTGTTCAGGAAAAGGATAGGCTAAAGATTAACAAAAGTAACTGTAAGGTTTACAGTAGGCCTACTGTGAAGTCGTCATCTTCTTCACAGAAAAGACCAATATAGCTTTTTAGCCTACTCATCTTCCAAGTAGATCTTTTCGAATCAGAGACCTATAAGTTATTGTCTCTGATTGAGCGTTCCTGTTTTCTCCAAGTAATTGTAGATGTTGCTATTACTATATGCTGAAGAAAACGATTCATGGATGATCACAATCATCCTGTTATTGGTTGATTCCGTCTCTTCAACAGAGAAGTAGAAGGTGACTTAGATTGTTTTAGTTTTGAGTCACTAGACTATTCTTCTAGCTATATTAGCCAACAACTGAACAACACAAGTAATTATTCATATAAGAAGTGTTGTATGCGTTGACAAATGACAATGTCATGAACTTGTCATTTCTGAGTTTCAGACTGAAATCTTTATATTCTCAAGAATCATTTCTGAATACTCCTATTTAGACTCTATTCCTGGAATATTAACGTTCAGAGTTGAGTTGGCGGAAGTATCTTTGACATAGGTTACTTTCGCCAGATGCTTCTCATAAAGCATTCAACTCAGTGTAATTGTTTGAGGAATTAAGATTACAGTCGAGGTTTTTTGAAAACTTAAACATTTGGCGGCTTTCAGTTTGCCAGTTAAAGTAAGGTTATGTCTAAAACATCACCTCAGTAAAGGTTTTGTTTCCTTTATTTTTCTTAGCCTTGACAGCTTTTGAAGTCAAAAGTTGATTATTGAAGTCTAAGATGACTTTTCAGATCTCTTGGTAAGTCAGTTCAAGAGACTGTAAATCAAATTCTGTGTTTTTCACTACAACCTTGGGTGTTATTCCAAAGGTTTTATTTTGTGACGAGGGGAAGTAGTTATACTTACTTATAACAAGTCCCTATATCTGTATATCCAGACCAATGGCCTGTTTGCTACCACATCACACACAGAATGAATATTTGTTTATTTTGACCTTGTTCAGGTTGCTCAGTTTTTAAACACGGTTTAAGTTTAATCACTGTTTTGAAGAGTGTTTTACTGAGCCAGCCTCAGTCATGACAGTATCATCTTCAACAGGTTCACAGTCGTGCCGTGCTTCTGTGTAAACATTTGTGTCTTAAATAGCCACACATTTACTTTAAATCAGTGTATCATCAGTGTTCAGTTCAATCACTATTTGAGAGATCTTACATGTTGATTAGAGGTTTATGTTTTTTCACCATGGAATCACTTGTTACCATGTTTCCTTGGTGGTAGAACCTCAATACATCATTTAGTGGTACTGAAGTACTATATACTCAAGAGCTAGTGTACTCTTTGTTATAGACATGGTTTCGTTTGTCTTGACATGAGCTCTTCCAAACAAGAGATTCAGACTTACCTTTTTACGCATTGGTCAATTAATATTAACAGTGGCAATTTTTCACACATATGCCAAAAATTGTCGTGATCAAATTGTGACCAAGTTATTTTTGTAACAGTCTCATGATTTTAAGAATCACAAATATTTTCTGCTGACTGTTATACATATGTTCTTTAACGGAAATCACTTTCCGTTTCCGTGCGGTTTTGGAGATATTTCTATACGAATTATCTTCAACTCCATCTATACTTTATCAAATAGTTTCATTTTTGAGACAGTATATTTTTTCAGATGTTGTTTTGAGTAGAACACTGAATTAAGGAATCGTCCTGTCCTGAGACTAGTAATGTCACTACCCCCTTAATAGGACAAATATACATCTAAGGTTTATGATGTCAAGATTCCAAGTAATTAACAAGGCATTTTGGTGCCCTGTCACAGGAATGTAAATTCTCAGGAACCACATAGTCATCGGTTCGATTCCTATTACCGTAGCTACTGTAGTTTAGTGGTGTTTGCCTATTCTATTTGGCAATTGAATAAGGCTTTTAACGTTGCTTTATTTTCCTCTGTACCATTCATAATTGAGGCAGATGGTGGTCAACCTCTTGAGGTGTTTAACAGAGGATTTCAATGCGAGAATAATTCTCGTTTTATTTATACATGTTATATGGGAACGGTTCTTGAACACTTACAAGGTAGATGAAAGTTGCCCAAGAACATTTTTGTGTTCAAAGATGCAAACCATAACGTAGTTGTTAATATCCACGTTGCTTGACAGCTAGACTATCCTTCAAAATCAGGGTTCATTTTCAACAAGAGAAAGTGAAACACCTGTTGATTTTAAGGATGAGAAGCGTGATGGGGTTTTTAACACCTATATTGCAAGAAAGCAATACTGTGACATCTGACACTACAGTTCAATTGATGTGTAACACTAGTTACTATTAGACATCAAGACGTCTCACTTGAATTGTTTGTTGTTCCAGATTCAAAGAATATTGATGTTTAGAACATCAAAGTCTTATTAATGTGAGCTTGCATTTCCATTGCATTCTAATGAGTTTATTTACTCATATTTTAGTCATAGTATACATGTTTGTGTATGACTAAACAGCAATATTAGAAGATACATGAAACGTTTATCTTCCCTAGCAACTTTGTGGATAAATACATTGCAGGTGTTTCCTATCAAGAGACGCAGAATTTTTTATCACACTATATATGCTATTAGACTAGAATGCCACTTAATTACATGGTAGTCGTCTTATTTACCTGTAATTGTTGTAATTGGAACTCTCTAATGATATATTCTATCATGATATCGTACAATTTGTTCTAGTAAATTGTCAGCAGAGGAGGGTTTTCAGAACCAGTTCGTAAATGATCTTGTCCTGATAACTTCTTCTAGAGTCGAATGATTCTTTAAGGTTTTGAGTTAGTGTTGTGGTTCAGTTGAACTTATTCACTCTTAACCATTATAATCTCTTTCTTGGGTTTGTACCAAGATCTAGGATTGTATTCAGCAGGTATCATCTAGACATGTTTGGATACATGACTATCTTTAATTTACCGATCTTTTCAGAACGTGTTCGGTAATATGCACAGTTTTATTGTTGAATTGTAAACAACCAAGCATACTCGACTAATAAGGAGGGTGTACATGGGTTCTTCAATGATTGAACATGTGATCCTAATGGCAATGAGTAAATGATGAATCTCTACGTAGTTTATCATTCAGACATAGCTTAGCCTTTAAGGGTTACAATGCTTTGCAGAAGCACTTATACCAGATGTTTAATATTTAAAGATGTAATTGGGATTTCGGAGTTATCACAATCCCAAGAATATTTAAACAACTGGTGTTCATAGTTCGAAGATCATAAAGAGTCCAACATATGGTAACCGATGTAGTACTTCGTCTCACCTTTACTCAAAAGAGAGAACGAAAAGTTTGCATTGATTTGAAGAACCAGATACATTTAAGGAACTTCAATATAATTCCTTTAGATCTTTTAATCAAGCAATTATTAGCTGTTATCTATACACGTACAAGGTATACAGAAGTATAGAAGGGTCGAAAAGTAAAGAAGGGTCGAAAACGTTATGTCAAGACCAGTAGCTACTTCTTCAATCTTTGTTTCTAGAAGTCGAGTGGAAGATATGTTTAAAGCAGGCACAATGGGCAGCTTAAATTACTTCCAAGTCATGTATGTAAGTCTAAGACATGTAAGACTATGCTAGAAAATATTCTGACATTTTTCTTAAATTTATGGCCAATCAGAATGTCAGAATTTGTACTGTGGTATAAGTTCGTTGTTGACCTTTGGTGGTTGAATTACCCCGCCATAGATAGACGTCCGTTTTTTATCATAGTGGCCATTTGAGTCATATATGAAATAATACTCAGTAGTTTTTTAGCATAGTGAATCTGAATTATTAGTTTTGTTAAGTGTTTAACACAGTTTGAACATTTCACCCCAGAACTTGTACTAGGTTATTAAGTTCCTTAGTCCCGAAGGCTTTATGATGTAAAGTTGGGTTACCTAAAGTTGTAGGGTTGATCAATTTGTAGTTTGTTGCAAATTTATTCTATTCCCGTGGTCTTTCTGCTGTTGAACCCACCGCCTACTTGGCTGGGATTCAGCACATAGTGGCAATATTAGTGTAAGTAGTAAAGGTTTGCGTAGTAAAATCTTAAAATTTAAAGTAATTTTAGTTTTTATTAGTAAACCATACTTACCTAATATTGCCACTACAAATATTTCCCTCCCTCCTCCTCCGCTTACAGCAGAATTTTCATAAATGTTATAGCGGAATAATTGAGGAATATCCGGGCATGTGTGCGGGGGTGCACAGTGTAATATGCTCAAGAAATTCCCGGGAAGTTGGCCATAGATAGATTCAATGGTGGATGTTAGCACATAGTGGCAATATTAGGTAAGTATGGTTTACTAATAAAAACTAAAATTACTTTAAATTTTAAGAATCTCTAATGTTGCAACTCTGCTTACTTATGTAATAATATATAGAATATGATATCATTGGGTGGTTTACAATCACTTTTTACGGATAAGTTAAATTGAGTAAGAGGGTTTCCAATAAAAAGTAGAAAGGATGGATTTCGGGGCAGTAACCAGAACCCAACATACCGTGAGATTCGAGGATCCACGTTGAGCCCATACCACTGAGCTCGCCAATACATATGGCCATGTGCCGTCAGCCATGATGTCACCGAACAAGCTCATGGTATCAGGAGGTCTGGTCAACACCCGTGATATTCGCCAATTCATGTTTAGTTGGACTTTCGACACCAAAACAATTTATATTTATTTTAACAGAACCAGTTAAAGTTAAAACCAAAAGGATTCGAAGCTTTCCTTTGAAACAAATAATATATATGAAGGTTTTGTAAGAAAATTGTTTTAAGGAATGATGTACAGGGTGTTCAAAAAAAAACGCAACCCAAAGAAATCGCTATATCTTGGAAAATACTAGTCCAATTGTGTTCATTTTTTCAGGAAGGAAAGAAGAGACTGTGTATGTATAGCTCATGTTGTTAGTTAGTTGTAAAACATGATGCCTTGGACAAATGCTCAAAAGACATTAGTATTGGAAAGATACGAAAAACGCAGTCAGAGACTACTGCCACAGCAATAAAACCAAATAACTTTCTAACCATAGTGTTTTGGCTATTCAAATTTGGCACAAATCATCTTCATTCAATGTATGATAAATCTGTAGAGTGAAATCAAAATCACTCCAGGGACTTTACAGTTTTGGTTGAAATGCTTTCAAAACCCAGTCAAACACCCTGGTTCAGCCAGACTTAAGAAGGCATTTTGACCATGACTGTAAAGTCCCTGGAGTGATTTTAATGAAACTCCCCCAATTCACTACACATTATATGAAGATAATTTGTGGTGAATCTGAAGTGCCAAAACACCATGGTTAGAAAGTAAGTAGGGTTTATTGCTCTGGCAGTCACCTCTGGTTGCGTTTTTCGTATCTTTCCAATACTAATGTCTTTTGAGAAGGTGTCCAAGGCATCATATTTTACAACTAACTAACAGCAGGAGCTATACACACATAGTCTCTTCTTTCTTTCCTGAAAAAATGAACACAAATGGATAAGTATTTTCCAAGATATAGTGATTTCTTTGGGTTGCGTTTTTTTTGAACACCCTGTATTTTATGCTGCCCTGTGTATTTTCTTGATACATCCATTGAGATTTTCACATGCAAACACAACATAAGCAATAAATATTTTTGAACTAAATTGTTTTTATTTTTTTTCTCCGTTCTACTTGTCTCACTGAGACCCTGAAATAATGCATACAATATGAAACATAAATGAGTCATACGAGACTGTATACGTAAAAGACTTGGTATACAGTGTTCACCATAAATAAATGACACCTGGATTTGCTGAAGTGAGGATTTCCCATGTTAAAAACGAGAGGATTTCCAAGGGTCCATACATAAGTAGGCTAGTTCAGAGTATAGAAAATGTAAAATATACAAAACTAAAAGGAAGTGTATCTAGACATTTTTGGAAAGGATGAAGTCTCAAATCAACATGGTTTGGGAATGGTGCTAGAAAATCAAGATGCCATTTATTTATGGTGAGCACTGTAGTTATGATGAACAGTCTCTTCAGAATGAAAGGGGGAATATTTACAACTTATTTTAATCCAGAATTAAAATGATTCATGGCATATTTCTGACCATAGAATAATCCCTTTTCTGATTTATCTTATATTTGGGTGCCATAAACCACCGCACCTTAATTATTCTGACTTGAACTGTATACAGGTATAGTTCATCCTGAAACTTCTATAGGTACACTTCGTATACACAATATTAATTCTTCAGTCCATTGCGTTGTGCCAAAATTCTTAAGTAGCACATTTACAGTCCAATATAGTACACCTTATCAAGCGAAATAATGTGAATACAATATTTATATTACATCGTTTCTCTGCTGCATTATCTTATATAGTATTTTAAAAATCACATCATGCGATAATATATACCCTAGGTACCCTAGGTAGTGATATTTGTTGGACAGTTAGGGAATCGAGGTGTGGGTTCAGTTCAGACCCGTATATCATCTGTAGGTAGAACTGTTCATTGTTATGTTAACCCTATATTTAACTCCCTGGCCTAATTGCCGTTTGTTTTGCACCTCCTTTAGTGAATATGTCCTCAGTAACCTTACAAAACAATACATTCATAACAACTTTAAAATAATAACTTACATTTGAGCATCATTATTAATTAAAATACAGCAGATGAAATTTTAAATATCATGGAATTTGATTAAAATCAAGTCGAGGGAAACTCTCACCTTTCTATGGACATTTTAGGGGTTTCTACATATCCGAGAATCTGATGGAGAAAATACAATGCTAAACCGAGATCTTCCCTAAGTTATTATTAGGCTCCTGGATATCAAGTATATTAATGCAAAAATGTGAATTGCATTCAATACAAACATGTATAAACTGTCATCAAAATCAGGTCATGAATTATAGAAAGCATTCCACATTTGAACATATACAAGCAATGGCATATGTGATATATGGTTTATCAAGATATGGACAAATCAATGAAAAGTAAAAGTCTGTCATTCAATTAGGGATTGGCTTTTGTAAAAGTTCCAATTAAAATCAGTTTATACATAAAATATTTGAATGTTAATATGCATAAATTGTCATTTTGGCAAAACATCAGAAAACCAATCAAACATAAACATTAAAATATTCTATGCATAATTTCTTTTAAAGGTGAATAGAACAAAATCTGATTCCTAATTGAAAGACAGCAGACTTTAACACCAACTTACAGACACAGAAACCTGCTAAAAGAAGTATTCAACTGTTAGACAATAGACAGAGACAAATTTAATTCAAATCAAAGCAATCAATGTGACAATCATAATTGAATCTGCAACAATTTTATCATATATAATTGACAATACAGTAAAGGCAACATTATATTATGAAGTATATTGAGTATACTAGTCTAAGTTCATAAAATGGCATTCAACATGTTCAACATATACTTACCAGCCACAATGCCTGGGGAAAAATATACCAGCTGAATATATAGTACATAGTAATCTGGGATGTAAAAATTCAATGGACTATGGCAACAATTGACAATGGCAACAAGAATAAACAATTTCAGTGTATATTCATAGAACAGTGGCAACAAGAATAAACAATTTCAGTGTATATTCATAGAACAGTGGCAACAAGAATAAACAATTTCAGTGTATATATTCATAGGAGAGCATGTCACATGCAAAAGGCAAACAATCAGCAATTGGAGTTATATAATCACTTTACGGAGCCAGGTAGACTAGTAGAGAATGAAACTGGACGTTGAGCCGATTAGATCTGAAAACATCATGACAAACCACAACTTGAATTCATATCATATATCATGAACAGCCACAAAGTAATTTGCCAGAAAATACACAATCTGTTCAATGGCTGCCCAAAGAAATACACAATAATCGAAGTATTTTTTACACATTTGAGACATTTATTAAAGATCTAATTTTATACAGAGAACTAAAAGAACATGGCAACATTGTGAAAATAATGTTCACTGGTAGCATTTCTTTAGGTAACCAGTGAACCATTAACATAATACATAAAACAACTGCATAATCGTATAATAAAAATACATGTGATGTGATGTTATTGAATCACATAACTAAGTAGAACATTCGTCACAAGTTAACAAGGAGGATGCCTGGAAAGTACTGTTTAAAATCCTGAAGTGATCAGTACATATCCCTTAAACCTGTTTCAACTTGATATAAATATGCACATAAAATGATATCAACAATACAATTGAGTCAAAGTATAATAGTCTACATACAAGTATAAATATCAACATATTGTAATACTTTTCCGTTTTCCCTTCACAAATCACCAGAAAATTATTTACTACATAAATGTACAGTTACGGTACTCTTATCCTGTTGTATATACATATTGTTCATTTGCAAGGTACCCGCATAGCATACTCAAAACATTACTATTCTAGCTAAAAATGGCATACATCCTTCCACACTTCTGCTCGTACACTATTTTCTGTTATGTATATTAATTATATGGTCATCTAATGACACAAACATGATTTAAAAATGCAAACAGATCGAGGAAATAGCAACTCCTTGGTTCACTGTTGTTAGTTATATATAATACAGTTCATTTAAACCTGAACAAGGAAACATTTATATATCATATATCGTACAGAACAGCATCAGTGAATTGATCAACATCACGAGATATTACCCACAAACTTCCAAACTTGTCGGATAATCGTTGGCATAGGTATCTCTATCAGCTTAGAGAACTGTCTTTACGATTAAAGCATCATCATATAGCATCAGTGGTTATGGTTATACATGGAATCAATACGCAGTAGGGTGATAGATTATATCATATCATATACAGTTTAACATCATACAGTATACACAGCATAGAATGAGATGAAGCAATATATAACATGTATAGTATATATGCAATATATGATAGCATGTGTAGTGTAGTAGTACATGTATGTATATATATGGTAACTATGGAAACCGACTATGGTATTTACAGATGCAAAGTCACATTGTTAACTCTATGAAGCGACATCAACCTGGAAGGAAAGAAGAATAACATGTTGGCATGGCAACGGATAAAACAATAACATGGCAACATAATATACATTAGATGATTTGAAGAATACAAACAAATTAAGGGCAACACACTGCATGAGATTTTCAGCAAATAATTTATCTAAATTTTTTTTTAATTAACCATGCAGCGTGTTTTCAGATACTATACCTTTTCAGAAACTAGCAGCAATGCTGTTGATTGGATACTAGTCAAGTTCTGATGTATCATCTTCTAACCCCGCCAAGATGGTAATATGTTTGTGTGTGAGAGACAATATAGACTAACCCTGTATATAATATGGTGACACTACAAAACAACTTAATTAAGCTAACTCTGCAGACAGTGTAACACCCCATGATTGTTAACTTAACTGTCGAATGAACAATAAATTAGTCTTGCTTCAAGCCACCCTCCCCCGACTCTACACAGTGTCATGTTGTATGCTATGTAGGGTTAAATTGCTTAAGGTGAAGTAGGAGATATTGGAGACTTAAAGCAAGGCTGTGAGCAATGAATAATGAAGTATCGATAACATGTAGTCAATCATATACATTAAGAATAAATTTGGAACGAATGATATACTGCATCAACAAGGTGGGTGGTTAAGCTTTTGAGAGAACTTGTGAGTGTGTGGAACCATGGTCCACTGACCTTCAGGCCTCCCCTTAGTAGTATTCACTTTCCTTTACGAGTTGTAATAAGGTCCCTGGAACAACCAGTTAAGAGGGGGACAGAAATCCCTGGGGTCATAATATCAAACTTACGTACAAGTTCTCATAAATGTGTAGCTTAACCCCCCTATGTATTTCAAATTTACTTCTTATTCATCCAACCCATTCTCAAAAACGTTAGCATGGGAAATGTCAAGCCAAGTTTCATTACACCATCATACAGTTGTCATATGGGTGTTGGTTTTACCCCATAAACATTAACCATATCTAATTTGTAGTTATCAAAATGTTAAACATGTTATATATAGGCTAAAAAATGTTTAGATCACTCTTATAAAAGACTTGTTATGACAACTGTAAAAGATGTAAGTACCCATCAAGCATCCTCTGATTGCTTCCTAAGACCTCCTGTGTTACCATGGTTACGATACAGCAAGCAATATAACAACAATAAATTATATTATTCAGTGTGTATGCTAATAAATCATAACTAATCAGGATAGATAGACAGCTAGGCTAATTGTAACAATCAACGAAGAATAATCATATATAGTTATATATGCAGAATTACCAGATTGAGATATGACATGTATATAGCATCAACAAAATCATTAGTTATTGGGCTATAATTGGGTCACATATAGGCAAATAATTCGAAGTGCATAGGTGACATATGAATACATTTGCATCAAATAAATAATATTATGTAAAAGGGTTGAAAATATGGGTTAGTATGATACTTGCAAGTACATTATCAAAATATTTCAGTCACCTCAGATATTGATCTTCTTCTGAAATGGTGCATTGTGGGACTTATTTGTCTCCAAGTAGCAGACCAATCAGAAGCTCTGTTACATCAATGGCTTGGGCTCAAAATTAAGCTTAAAATGCAATAATGAACTGATTGATCTCCTGGTGGCAATAGCCAATCAGAAGCTCTATTGAATAAATATATTGTATTGAGCCAAACGTTAAGCTCACAATGCAACAGTTAACTGATTTGGCTCAAAGTGGCAATGGCCAATCAGATACTTTGTAACATATACATAAATGATTTGGGATTAATCACTATCACCATGGCAATATTTGAGAATGCTGTATCCAAGGATAAAAATGACAAATACCAGAGTATTTCCTTAACAATGCCTAGATGAAGAAATAACTCAAGCAGTTGTCAAAGAGTCTAGATAAAAACATAAGCCCCCCCCCCTCCATCCAACACATTAGCACATACAGGAGCACAAAATCCAATTTTTAAGATATTTGGAATAAAAGAGTATAACTACAATTATGTTAAGACACAAAGAAATCAATGTGATAAAATGTGAAAAAATTGTTTCTCTAATAAAAACGAGATGAAGGAATGTTCTCAAGTGTACACAGGTTAATGTGCATACGGTCACACAACCTCTGTCACGTCAACCACTCCCAGGCTTAACTATTCCAGCTCTTAAAACCTAGTTGAAAAATTGCATTAATGCATACAAAAAAACATACCATAGGTAAGTATATAGATATATAAACAAGCATGTTAGTACAAAACATCAACATTCAGTAGATTTTATACATTGATGGGAAAGCCTACAATTTTGACAGTGAGGGAGTGTCTCTATATAAGTGGGCTTGGGGGCGTGCCTAGACCTACCTGCGTACTTACACTGGAGTTGCTCTCATATTTCATCTGGTCCCATGACTTATGTTAATATTTTTCTCTTTATTCAAGACATATTTTAAACTATGAGAATGTAGTGTCAATGACATCTAATGTGAATGGACAGATTTGAAGTCACTGACAGTACAAAATGTAGTGCAGAATCCAGGATGTTGGCCTTACAATGTATCTCAGAACTGATCTCTTGAACTGATTGGTTAATATAAAAATTTTAGATTTACATCATATATTCACAATTTTCCAACTTAAACTGTGAAAATCCAGAAGATACAATGTCATATCAATGATACATTTTAGCCTTATTTGCCTCACTGACAATTGTATTTGCCTCCCATAACTTTTATCCTGGCTGCGCTCAAAAAGTAAGAATGGTAGATATGTGAGGCCAAAGTCCTAGTATTCTTGCACTGATACTCCTGTGTTCTCCCCAGCATTGAATTGTACCAACCTTTGCCAAATGGAAATTGATGAGCATTTTGACTTTTCCGACAGAAGTCATTAGTTTACGAATGAAAGTTTGTGCAACTCAAAGCTGGCTTAAACTCAGAACTTTCTTTTTTCACAAAAAATCCTGGGGAGAACACATGAAATGCTACTGAAATGTTCCCTTTAGAAGGGGCTACCTTATATACAAGAGGATCTGTGTGTGTGGTCTGTATGGGTGTTACTGCTGTGGGGGCTGGGGTTGTTGCTGTTGCTGCTGTGCTGCCTGTTGATACACCTGCTGTGCCTCTTGATGTAGTCCCTGACTCCTGTAGTACTCTGCCCAGGCAGCGCTGTAGTCGGCTTGGCCAGTAGCTGGATTCACAGCTGTTATTAACACAATATAGAGGAACGTACATTATTCTCATGAATAACTTAATAACTAGATCATTGATTCCCCATATTTCTAAATGATTTTACTCAGAAAAAATATTCAGTATCTATCTTGCAAGCCAAGAGGTTCAAATTCAAAAGAAAACAATATTTTCAAATTATTTGGAACATAAAAAGGTACTCCTGAAAATATTTTTCCTGAATCCCATGACTTTTCACTTTGTTCTAGATCAGCAAACCTCATTGTTAACTGGAATGCATAAACTTTTTCAGTCCCATATTCGGGAATATCGCTGACTTTCATAAAACTAAAATATGAACTTTCAACTGGTCCCCACTTTAAAGGTTGGGTCAAATTGTCTGGCCCTCTGTCAGAACAAACAATTATGTCCATTTGAGAAGTAGTCAATTTCAGTTTGTGATTTTTCATGAGGATGACAGTTGAGGTCAAAATCAAATTAATGTAATTTTTTGATGGACCGAACCCCATATACAAGGTTACCTGTACAGTTGTGATATGCTGAAGACTGTTTGTATGTTACCTCACCCCCTGGCCTCCTACCCAGGGAGGATTCCAGATACTTGATACAAGACAAAGTGTTTTACTCACAGGGTGATTTAATTTTCTCGGTAAGACAGTTGAGGTCAAATCAAATTAATGTAATTTTTTGATGAACCCAACCCCATATACAGGGTGGTCCAAAAAAAAGTGAACCCCTGCAACTGGCCATATTTCCCTTATTACTTGCAGGAATTATTTTTTATTTTCACATGTTGTAGAGGAAGGTCTAAAATTTATGTTGGAACCATACATTTGTCTTAGTCTTGAAATTTGTAGAAATTATAAGCCCCAACCAAACATTACTGAAAATGGACAAATTGTGATTTTCAATATCCACGATTCTTCAACCCTTTAACACCTTTCCCCTGAGAATTGTTTAAGCTGCAGTCTTAAAGAACTAATATTTTCTGACTTTGTTCAATTTTAAATCTTGAACATTATGGCTTAAAACTAGCATCCTACATTTGTTAGTTGCAAAGTTATTGTGATCCAAAGAGATGTGCTAAGCTTCCACAGACGAAAACATTTTCCAGTGAAACCATAACCATACCCGTATGATCTTGAAATGTCAATATCTTCATAAATCATGGACCAATTCTAATGATATATGGCTCAAAACATTGAATATTGGATTTTCTTTTAATTTTTTAAAGATATTTGATGAAGGGGTTATCAGATTCCTGGTCACAGGGGGTAACTTCTTTCCATAAGGTAAGGTTTTAAACTTGTATCTCTATTCGAAAGCTGTTTAAGATCATCCAATGTGTTTCAACAATTTCAGTGAATCACATTTGTAAAATTTTGTACAATATCTAATTTCCAGGCATGTTTGTTAAACGCTTGTAATTTTTTCAAAATTTAAGACTGAGAATAAATTATGGCATCAACCAAAATTTTAGATCTTTCTCTTCAACATGTGATAATATGAGCCAATTCATGCATGTATTAAGAAAATTGTAGCCAGTTGCAGGGGTTCACTTTTTTTTGGACCACCCTGTACAAGCTTAACTATACAATTGTGTTACGTTGAACGTTGGCACGTTTCCTCATCACCCCTCCTTCCCCAAAGAGGATTCCAGAACAAGACTGAGTGTTTTACTTACAGGGTGCAGGAGTAGACTGTTGTTGCTGAGGTTGTTGGGGTCTGTTCTGTTGCTGTTGACCTCCCTGGTTGTAGTATTGAGCGTAGTAAGCGGCCCATGCATCTGCAGCTTGTTTATCTGAATAGTACACAGAGCCATGATAAATTCTATACGAAACATACAAGGGTTTTTACAGGTTCATATATATTTATTTATTCGGACAAAAATAAATAAATTTACTTTTACTACTACATTTCATGTAAACATCATAAGAATGTAAACATCATAAATTTTGTGAAATCTGAAGTCATTTTCACTGAAAATTGAGCACTTTTTTAAGACTTGAAGCGAGGCAACGTTTTTGTCATTTTCAGCATAAGAGGCAAAATTGTGCTGAGGTGATGATCCTCAATTTATTGTATGCCTAGTGAGCATCTAGTTCTCTTTGTGAAATAGTTCACCACGATACAAAACAGCTGAACCTACCTGTATTTTGTATTCACCTAGATCCTGGGATCAAAATATCAATGGATGCCCAAACACTGGTGGTGGGAGGGGTAAAAAGTTATTCCCTAGTTTAAATTGATTGGTTTATGGGTAAATTGACAAAAATAAATGAAGGTACTACAGAACGTTTGATATTTTCTCATCAAGGGTAGGGGAGCATCATCTAGATGAAATCAAATTAACTCTGTGACTTTTGTGGTTTGACATGCATTGATATTTTGATGTGATCCGTTAGTACCTTACCTACAGACTCAGATATACTGAATAACTTGCTCTTTGAAAGTTTTTTAATTTGATTATTCCCAAAGATGTTCACTCTATATGGAGTGATTCTCTAGAAATGAAATAAGCAGGAGCAAAACTCCATCAAGATTTTGGTTACACAAATTGATTCATAAATTTCTAAGATAAGAGTGGGTGAGGAAGGTCAACCTCAAAACTAACAAAATTTGAATTTTGCACATAATGGTGAATTAATCCTTGGGAGATCATTGATTAGGGGTGAGACGAGTCGAAAAAATCCGATTCGAGTCGAATCCGATTTGAGTCAGAAAATGACGATTCGAGTTTCGAATCCGTTTCGAGTCGCGCGAAGTGCGAACAACATCGCTTTTGACCGTTCGTATTTTTAATGCGTCAATGGTGGAAAGCCGGAAATATAAACAAACACAATTCGTCGTAAGTTTATTCTGATTTTATTACATATATTCTTTCATTTATGTGTACATACAATATAATAATTTAATACAAGCATATCCAAGTCATTGAAACTTATATATTCAACGCAATATCGAGTAAAAACATGCATATTGACAGTATTTTTCCGAATTTTTTTATTTTTTCGAATCTTTTTCTCAACTCGAAAATGATTCGATTCATCAACTTCGACTCGATTCGACTCGACTCGAAGCCCCAAACCCGCGAGTCCTCGACTCATCGAGTTGTCGTCTCACCCCTATCATTGATATACATTTAGGTTATAGTTTCTTCCTATCACTTCACTGTATATTAGTATGTTAGCATTACTTACTAGGGGGGTTCATATGTTGCGGAGCGTTGAATGTGTTTCCCCATCCTTGGGGAGCATACTGTGGGGGTCCGCCAGGACTAGAAATATAGGCACCCACATTTATAATACACACTCAAAATTCTATATACAGTATGGGAACCCAAATGACACTGCAGAAATCACTAACTGGTAACATTTCCATTGAGTTTTTGTCACATCTTTTTAATATGTTGTGATTTCTGTTGGACTTTTAGGGGGGATGCAACACTCAGTGTGCAATGGCCAATCAGATTGTAGCACCCAGTGTGCAACAGCCAATCAGATTGTAGCACCCAGTGTGCAATGACCAATCAAATTGAAGCACTCAATGTGCAATGGTCAATCTACTGCAGCAGGTCTGTTCATCTATAAAATAGAGTGAGTGGGGCTATTTCTAGCTAAGGCCCAACATGGCAAACAGTCATCTGACTCGGCAAGGCCAAAATGAAAATAAAATTAGCAATTAATTTTTACATAACTCTTGATCACAGCCCAGGGGTTTCATAACAAGCAGTTTTCCCAACTGTTTTTACAAAATAACCTGTTGTTTTGAGGAAGTACATTTCTCCAAAAAAAAAAAAAATTCCAATAATTTGGTGTGAAATATGAATGAAACCCTGGAGAGCCTTAGTAAGACATCTTCATCCTGACCTAGCACAAGTGAAATCACTGGAGGAAAACATTACATAAAATTCCTTACTTGGATCATTGGGATTTTTTTGATTCTGATAATACTGATATGTGTTCCCCCAGCCTTGGGGTGCATATGAACCAGATGGAGGGCTGAAATATTTAGACAAATCAGTGGATATAAATACACAGCCATATATTTCTAAATAGAAGGATATAGGCCTGTAATAAATTACTGCAACTGCTTCATGGGCCTATAACTATTGTCAAAGTATATGATAGAAATAGTACATTTTGATTACGTTGTATAGGCAATGACATATTTTATTTTTCTTAAATTACTTGAATGCATATGGATAAATAGGTAGTTATGTTTTTACAAAGACTATTAAAAGCTGTTACTGAGTGACTGGATTCAGAGTATACTAGTATATCAAAATTTGAATGAAGCATTGTGAATGATATTTTTATTTTTGAATAAGAATGTTACATTAGAAATTTAAAGTCTCACCCTCCTTGAGGTCCAGGCCCTCCAAATCCACCATCAAAACCCCCTGGGGGGCCTCCTGGTCCTGGACCACCACCACCTCCACCGTTGCCTCCTTGGTGCTAGATAACAGAATTCAATATTATCATAAAATTATCATAATGATAAAAACAGGGATGTAGCAATTGATATTTTTCAAGTGCTAGAATTCAAAATCATCCTAAAAACAGGGATGTTGCAATAAATATTTTTCAAGTATATTGATTCCGGCAAGAGCGAAAATATATCCATAACCTTTCGCAAAGTGAAATGGGATTGAAGCACTAAACTGGGTAAGCAATTAAAAACATTAACATGTGCTGTACCCAAAGTTGGAAAAAATCAAATAATTTACACAAAATGTGTTACATGTACTGTACTCAATGTTGGAAAAAATAATTTTAAGAAGTAATTTACACAAAATGTCATTGTGTGTTAGGTTATTGCATATGATTGCAAATGTGTAACAATTGTTATAGACAATGAACACTAACTATTGGTTACTAAAAAACTGGAGGTCATCCTATATTTGCGTGAAAATAACCTGCAAGTATACACTGTACTCACAATGCCTGCTTTTTCGCTGATAAGTCGCATTGCTTGCTGTATTTGACTCCGAGTGCCTTTAATTTGGAAAGTTTTCTCATCAGGGTTGGGTCCTGGGTATCGTAAGAGTTGTACATGAGCCCCTGAAGTATCTTTGATCTCTTTGATGGAGTCCCCACCTGAAATTAGGGAATATAATAGAATTAAATGATTGAAGATGTCAACTGGCAGAACGTCTGCTCTTATTTTTGTTCTGATCTATAATTTGGGAACTTAACTATGTCCAGAGCAAGGGTTTCATTATGAGCCAGCAACCATCAGGGTGTACACAGCCAATCTGCAATAGTACCGTATGGTACCATTTTGGTTACAGTACTGTATGGTATCGTGAAATGGTACCATACAGTACCGTGACAAGCACCATACTCAATTGGTACCGTACGGTCCTATACTCTTTATGAACCATACGGTACCGTGATTTCAGTATGCGAATTGGGGTGTATCAAAAATTTACCAAATTGCAGATAAAACTGTGCGCAAACTATTTCCCAATACATGCTGAAAAAATCTGTTGTCTAAATACTGATTGCCTCATTGCCACTCTAGTGGCCGAGAAACTTAAGTTATTATATATTGTTATAAAAAGAATTTTAGGAGCCCGATTAGATCTCCACTACTCACCTCTTCCAATGACTAATCCACATTTATCTCCAGGCACACTGATTGAAGCTTCTTCCTCATAATCTCCTCTGTCTCTACCACCCGCATCTCTACCACCACCGCCAAAGTTGCCTTGGTCACCGCCAAAGTCATCAAACCTGCTACCCCCACGGTCACCAAATCTCCCACAACCTCCTCGTCCCCCAAGACCTCCTCGACCACCTCGACCTCCATCTCGTTCGTTATTCTGAAAATGTTGATATATCATATGTAGATGAAAAGCCAAAAAAATATAATTGTAGAACTGGCTAATGAAAAAAAAATCTTAAAGCTGTCTTAAACTTTTAATTTTTTTCTGTTTGACCCGAGTCCGTGAACACCAGTGTTATAGAGTATATCAGTTTGAGATTGTAATGCAACCAGATTACCCAGTAGTCATAGCGTGATAATGCTGAGTTTTTGATTGGTTAATAGGGTTTCATGCATAGATCGGGCCTGCATTGACATTGAGCAAAGTACTTTTTGCAGAAGTTTTAATTGTATTTGTGTAATTTTTGTTTGGAAGTTGAAAAGATCCAAATATCTACCAATTTCAAGGTAATTTTACTTGTTTTGTCAAGTTTTACGTGTGGTCAAGAGTCACTTCCATAATAATGTGAGAAACAGACTTCCATTTATGTCAATGTAGGGTGTCCATAACAAAATCAGGGTGCCCCAGGCCTACGGACTCCCGCTTCTGCCGAAACCCTGGTCACGGTAGAGGTGACTTACTGTTCATTTAGTAATTCATACAACTACTATACAATACAAAGAGTATATTAAAATTCTTGTTTCTTCTTTCATTATGATTAAAGATGTAAATTTAAGAGCAAAAATGGCCCCAAAACTTAATAATAAAACATATAGTTTGGATGTTCATTTATGTCTGTGGATTATATTTTATACCACAAACACTTTATAAATACCTGTTTGTTACTTTGAAAATATGTGAACTGATGAAGATTTCTCAACTAAATACTTATCTATCTTCAGCTTTATCTATACTTACCCTATCTTGAGCTTGTCGAATGAGCTCATTTATCATCTTGGTAGCCACGGCAACCTTATCATCTGGCCCAGCCACAGTGCAAATCCTTTCGTGAGGGTCACCTTCGTCTTGTAAAAGAAATATGTAAAAGAATGAACACATTATATTTACAGGCTTCACAACTGACATATTACATGCAATAATATTAATAATATATTCTGAGTATCTAATGGCTCAGTATACTATAAGTTATTCAATGATTCGAGTGAAATACAGAAAATACTCTTCCCGAGAAGGTCGTATTTCACGATGCGCTAGCAGAGTGAAATACAGACGTTCGAGGGAAGAATATTTTCTGTATTTCACGAGAAATCATTGGATAACGTTTTTATTCCATGATTACTCAGATAAAACTCCCCTAAATCAAGTCCATTTCCTTTGCTTGGGACCGGAGAAACAGATCAACCTTCTCACCTCAAAAATATTTTACATCGATATTCCTTCAAAATCTTTTCGGCCTTTTCGGTTTTGCTTTTATTGTATTATACGATACTTTTGATTTTTCTTCAAGATTTTTCTTCAATTTCATCAGCTGGAACAGTGTAACGAAACGTTTTTTCGACTTTCGTCTGCCATATTGGATTTTTACTAGTTCATGAAAACAATGTGCATGCTTCATACTGATTTTTTATAATTACAGATGAGTGTTTTTTATCCTAAAATAATAAATTGTGGTGATCACCGTATCATTTCCTGATATTCAAATCAGATATTTCTAGCAAAATGCAAATATTAGCATGCGTTGGTGTAAACAGATCGCCATTGATTTTTTCAGTAATAGTCATATCCTGGATGGAAATCTGGGGCGTTGGGATACTGGACCGTATCCCAACGCTGACGTCATTTTCACTCTGTATTCAATGCTAAGTGGAAAGTGCGTGTAAATACAGGATATATTTAAGTCACATGGACCAATCAGATTGCAGGGAATTTCACCATCATGGAATAAAGTCATTTATCATATCAAACAAATGGAATGTAATGAATTGAACTGAAAAATAAGCGAGTGATTGCAAAAGCTCACCATGTGAGCTAACAAGCAATCAAAACAAGGCAGAGAAGGTCATTGAAGGTCAAATCTTTTTTAAGAAACTTGTTGTAGGTCAAATCTCAAATCAATGGTCAGATTTGAACTTTTGAGAACTTGTATATGATTTGAAAAAAAGGTCAATTTGAAGCAAGTTAAAAAAGACCCTTTTGACCTTTTTTTTACCTTCAGAAGGTCATTGAAGGTGAAATCTCAAGTCACATTTGAACTTCTGAAATCTTGTAGGTGGTTTTGAAAAAAAGGTTTTGGACAATTCAGCAAGTTGAAAAAAAACTTTTTGACCTTTGCTAACCTTTTTTGACATTGAGAAGGTCATTGAAGGTCAAATCTTGTTAAGTCAGTTTAAACAATATTTGTTAAATTAATGGAAGTTGTAAGAATTTGCTATAGACGCCGATTGCCAACCACCACCCGCCGATTGCCAACCGCCATCTCAAAAAATGGAGAGCTTAACAATATGTCAACACTTTTTGGTGGTGAAATGAAAATGAATTTATAAACATAATCTTGTTCCCAACATTACTGTCCCAAAAAAAGCACATGTACACATTTATAACTATTTGACATACCTGGTCTGAACTGCACTCGAGCTCCCGAGTCTTCCTGTATTTTCTTTATCATGTCGCCTTTCTTGCCAATGATGACTCCAACGCATTTCTTTGGCACAGTGATCTATAATGATAAAAGATTCCCTTATTGCATTACATTGAACTATAATGTATTGTATTGTATTGTATTGTATTGCATCTTATAAGACTAACATACCCTTCCCTGTTTTGCATATTGCTGAGTTATAATTGGGAATACTTCAAGAATATAAGCTGTCAACATTAAAAGGACTTATGAGTATGATACTTGAGGATATGTAACAGAGTCTACTATCAAACGCCACTCATGGGGCCCAGAGGCCCTGGTGGTGTTAGCGAATCCCTGCTGAATTCATATGGCACAATTTCTACACCCAGTAAGCACAGAGTTAACCCACTGGGCTCTAGATTGTGCAAAATACAACATATGCAATAAAAACTGATATTTTCTAGAATAGGACCATAATATGAATCCTACCCAAAAAGTTGTCATTTTCCTTTTTTTCGGAGATTCAAACTGTGAACAAACCTAATCTGTTGAATTAATCCAAGAACTTCACTTTACCTCTCCATTGCCTCCAAATCCACCGCCGCCGCCGCCACCACCACCGCCGCCGCCGCCACCACCACCTCCATATCCTTGGTGCATTTCCTGGTCCTTCTCTCTGATCAGATCCAGAACTAACTGTTTGCCTTGCTGCAAATAATAAAATAAAATGAGTATTTCAGTATTTATTCAAGACCAAAAGCAAATATTGCATAACAACAGATCTTATCTTAAGCCCAGCATAAGAATTGAACATATTTTGCCCAAACCTCATGTTTGCTGAAGTCCAAGTCAAAGTAGGATTCCGAGATCAAATGTTGGGGTGTTAAAAGTAATATAGCATTGATTCAATGAACCAAATAGCAAATAAGTTACATTTTTCAGTGCTGAACATCTCAGTATCCTTATTATTTCTCACTGTAACAGAGTCTACTATCAAACGCCACTCATGGAGCCGAAGCCCTGGTGGTGTTAGCGAATCCCTGCTGAATTGATGTGGCACAATTTCTACACCCAGTAAGCACAGAGTTCCCCTACTGGGCTCTAGGTTGTGCAAAAAATTAATCAAAACTGTTACGTCGCAACAGTTGAAGGAGAAATCAGAGTTGAGAATGTTTAAGTTTATCTAATATTATGACCAATATTCAAATGACTTGCCACTTCTATGTAATCTGTATATCCACATTACCCAACTCTCTCTCCCCAAATGGCTCCAATACCCAAAAATAGACCTGTAATCAAGGTAACCAGTTGTAAGTTAAGCCAGAATTTATAATAAACATTTACCTGCGCTCTGCTTATTTCTCCAGTGATTCTGAGGGGCTTGTCTACATGAGATGCCATGTTACTGTCTTGGATCATCACCATCTTAACACCTGCAGTTTCCTGAAATAGAGGACTCAACAATGAAATGTGATGCTATAAAAGAAATGGAGACTCAAATAATGAAATGTGATGCTATAATAGAAGAGACTTAACAATGGAATGTGATGCAATAACAGAGTAGAGACTCAACAATGAAATGTGATGCTATAATACAATAGACTTAACAATGGAATAATAGAATAGAGTAGAGACTCGTACTCAACAATGAAATGTGATGCCTAGAATAGAGACTCAACAATGAAATGTGATGCCATAAAAGGGTGGAGACTCAAATAATGAAATGTGATGCTATAATAGAATAGACTTAACAATGGAATGTGATGCAATAATAGAGTAGAGACTCAACAATGAAATGTGATGCCATAAAAGAAATGGAGACTCAAATAATGAAATGTGATGCTATAATAGAAGAGAATAAACAATGAAATGTGATGCTATAACAGAGTAGAGACTCAACAATGAAATGTGATGCCATAATAGAACACTTTTTGAATAGACCTTTCCAGTTAGCTTTGCTATGCTTTGATCAGCACATTGATGTACATATTTTAGCAAAATTTATGTCAGGCATTGGTGGAAGGTCTTATGAGGCTGATTATATTAACACTACATTAAATTATACTAATGTCTTATTGCCCAAGTAGGAGAATTGATTTACTTTTAATGTAACAGAGTCTACTATCAAACGCCACTCATGGAGCTGAGGCCCTGGTGGTGTTAGCGAATCCCTGCTGAATTGATGTGGCACAATTTCTACACCCAGTAGGCACAGAGTTAACCTACTGGGCTCTAGGTTGTGCATAATGGATGATCAATAGGCATGTCCTTGTGGTAATTTAAGTGTTATACACCCTTGCTATATGCAGCTACCAATAATGGACGAGTGGGTCAAATGGCTCAAAACAACCATTGGCACCGCCAAAATCACACTTTCTCAACCACCCAGTCAATTATTGGCAGCTTCATATACTAAGGGTGTTTTATCAGTAAACAATTCAGAAAAAACATTTTGACAAATTACTGTAGCACATAAGCTCACCACAGATCACAAGAAAACACTTAAGGATATACATATAACACAAATGCTGCCACTTGGTAAGTTATTGCAAAGGGTTACAAAAAGTAACCTGCTAGATGCTGACTGTCAGACACACAGTGATGGCTATAACAACATTCCTAGTGACCACATTAACCCTTTCACGACGATAGGCTCCATATGGAGCCCTATTATATAATACCTTTCAGGACGATAGGCTCCTTTTGGCACCATTATTTTTATTCATATACATCAATGAAATGACAATATCTCCAGTTCTATGCAGTATTTTTACATCAATTCTTGACAAGTTGTTATAATGTGATAATCCTTACTACAAAATTGTATTTCAGTGATAAAATTCAAGGTATAGGTCCTGGGGCATAGGTTGTTTGCAGTTTCCCCTAAAAACCGCTCTTACTTATCCGTCACCAGGGCCAACATTTTCCTTTTATATTCACGTCGGGAAAGGGTTAAGACAATTCAATTCAACTAATTATGACCTACCTGTAGCTGCTTTATAGTTTCTCCCCCTTTGCCAATGACAAGTCCTACTTTGGTGCCGGGAATCATAACCTCAACCATAGTAGTGCCATCCGGCATGTTGTGTGGATCTATACCACCTGTAGCACCCTTGTCTATGATTTGGTTAATAATTCTCTTGGCCGCACTAAAAATATACCAAAGAAACATGTGTATGGGGAAAGGGAACCAGCATGAACACAGACAAGTACTGTTTCGACCAGTTGAATATAGGAAAACAGCATGAGAGGGGTGGTATTTCTGTTATGACATGAAACTCAAATCAACATACATGGTGGTACCACCTTGCATGTTGTAGGGATCTATGCCACATGTGTAACACCTTTGGTTAATTAATTAACCTTGGCTGCACTAAATTACAGCATGGGAATATACGAGTTATGCCTAGGAGAAGGGAATGACGTAAGCACTGGTCAGAACAACTCTCTACTATGGGCCAACTGAATAGATCAGTATAAGTGATCTGCAGTATTGCCGGAAGTACCATTACAGTGGCATTCTGGCCTAATGTCGGCATTGAAATTCCAATACTGGATACCGGAATATCTAAAGAATCAATTAAACTTACCAGGAAGAAGAACTTGAATGAAAAATGAAAATATTTTTATCTTTTTTTCAATTTGAGGAATGACTACGTTAAATAGCTGACTGTAGATGTCTCAATTCAATGCAGGAATGATAAATCATGACTATAAACTGCGTTTGTATGAAAGGGACCAAATTCACCACCAAAAACTTTGGTAAAATCTAAACTCAGTCACAGAAATGTACGAATTTGCGAACGTAGACACAAAACCGTGGTATTCGGTAACGGTAAGGTATTGAATTGCGGTAATACCGGCACCTGTTTTCACTACCATTTGGAACACTAATCAGTATATGTATTAAGGAATATAACATGACTTGGGGAAAGTAATTCATTTTGACATAGTAATCCTTTAGTTATTCTATACATACTCAATAGCCTCTGCCGATCCTGTCAGTGTACATGGTCTGTTGGGCATACCACCACTGTCTGGGGCTATCTGTACTTTACAACCAGAATCTGCCTGGAGTCGGGTGATCTGTTCACCCCCTTTTCCAATCACTAAAATTAAATAAAGAAATAGTCAATGGATCTGGAAAGTGTCAAGCCTTTTCATTTTGAATTTGACTCCTCAAAATGCAAATATATCTTTATGCACATGGTTCCTTGTAAATGAACTGTCTCAATAGATTTGAAGCATTTAAACAGATTTCCAAACAATCTAAATTCCAAATATAAGTCTCCATTCCAACACTAATAAAAATTGTTTATAAATTTTTTAATTGTTCTTACCTAGGCCAACCATGCGATCTGGAATGTGATATTCTTCAGTTGAGACAAAACCGAGCCCCTGGGCCTGAGAAGGTGGTGCCATCTGTGGTGGTTGTTGATTTATGGACGGGTTAGATGTGATTCCTAGTTTCTGATTGATCTGCATTGCAGCTTGTTGCGCTGCCTGGGCTGCATTCTGTGCATCACTCTGCCTGCTGTAATCATAAGGGCAAAGAAGGGTTCAATTAGACAAAGGGTCACAAGGCCTAATGGGTGCAAACATAAGGGCAAAGGGTGTAATTGCAAGGGCAAATGGATGAAAATGTAGGGGCAAAGAGGTGCAACTGTAAAGACCAAGAGGTGCAACTGTAAAGACCAAGAGGTACACGTGTAAAGACCAAGAGGTGTAATCACAAGGGCAAAGGGTGTAATCAAGAAGGGCCAAGAGGTGCAATTGCACAGGGTCTCATCCCAAGAGCCAAGGTGTGCTGTGGCCCAAGAGGTACAAGATGAGCAGTAACAATAAAATCCAGATATTTGTCAATATAACAGAGTCTACTATCAAACGCCACTCATGGAGCCGAAGCCCTGGTGGTGTTAGCGAATCCCTGCTGAATTGATGTGGCACAATTTCTACACCCAGTAGGCACAGAGTTAACCTACTGGGCTCTAGGTTGTGCAACTGAACAAACTGAAATAACATTAAAATGGCACTTCTTTTTAAATTGATCAAGTCAATCTATTAAAATGTATACTTTATTAAAATTTCAAGTTTAAGTGAACTTCTTCCATTATCTAGCATGGTTTACCGTGTTATCTGACCACCCTTAATAAGCCACCTGGTGGTGAAATTCATAACTACCGATTTGAATCTTGGTAATTGTTCAATGAAATCCTGATTAAAAAAAACATAATAACAGTGGCTGCCTTACCTCTGTTGTTCTGCTATGGCTCTGAGTTGTGCTCCAATAGCTAAAAACAGCAAAAATACATGTCAAAATACTGAAACACATATTTGTAATAGAGTTTTGTAAACTAACTAGACAAAATAATGCAATAGATAATGCAACATATGTCGACCTCAACACTGACAGATGGGACTATTACAGGATTTAATAATCAGCAGGCAATTTTTCCAGTTGATTTTACACAATTGCCTGTTGTTCCAGACATTTTACTGTTGATAATTCCAATAATTTTTATCATTTTCATTTTACATGTCGCACAAAATTAAACTGGAAATCCTTTATATATAAAGCCAGTAAGGGATACATTTCTTAGAACTAAAATAGAACCAATCTTAATTTTGGTATTATAATTCCCACTATGTACACTATATCTTTTATTTGGGAAAATAATTCCCTTGTCTCGATCCAGTTTAAACTGTCTTAAGAGCTTAACAGCAGGCAGTAGGTGCGGTACACACATTAAACAAGTGAAGAACTTTATTACAACATAATATTATATGAAAAGCATTGTGCATTTAAAGACACACAAACATGAAAACACCTATTACAGTGACAAAGTTTAAATACTTAACTAGAAAATTGCAATACGTCACATTTTAATTATACATTATAAAAAATTACTGTGTAATAAAAAAGTTCTTGGTGCTCGTAAAAAAAAAAACATGTGTCGAAAAATGATTAAATTCTCACAAAAATACTTGTAGCAGTGTATGTTATGACTGTGATACCATACTCAAATTTATTGTTAAATTATGTGAAGTTAAGTTTGATCATAGACAAAACCGAAAAATAAATTATTTCAAATCAGAAAACAGAAATTCTGAATCTTTTTAAGATATGAATAAGACAGCATGAAAAGGATTTGAAAAGTTACATTTTAGAAAGTCTGTATTCCATCACCAATATTACTCAATCCTCTTATTAATCAATTTTATTTTTTGAAGTGTAAAATGTTGTTAAGATATCAAGAAGTCCCTTTAACCACTATTGAAGCAAAATACGCAAATGCTTAGAATATGGCTGAAAATCCTGAAATCTGAAATTTTCATCATTCAACAAAAAAATGGTAGCAAATTTGCGTATACTGCTTATAAATATGTTGCCATCTTCATACATCCCATGGTGCTATCTTACGTTACGCCACAACATATCTCGTCTAAATCACAATCAATTAAATAAGCAAATTTTATTAGTGAATTTTATTGATGGCTATGTATAGTTAACAAAATATGCTAGCTGACTGTGCTGAGAATAGGGGGTCTACTTACGATCATTTAATTCAGCCATACGTTTTGCGTCAGGCCCTAAAAATGAGAGCAGAAATACTTTAGAATTTGGATTCCCTCCCCTGATCCCCATGAAAGGCAACTGAAAATGTTCTAAATGGATCTAATTGGTCAGTTTAAATGAAAAGCTGAGTACATTTTGGCAACTCACTCTAGCCACAACAAAATATGCAATCTACCGAGTGAATATTAACAATCTATCTGCTTGGGCAGTTCTTACAAGATATGTAGTGTTATTTCCAAATACAACTTTTTATTAATACAGTCAAAACATTTTGATTAACTTGCAAACTGTCATTAATGAAGACAGCTGAAGTTAGCAATAACGCTTGCAGTCGTCTGAAAGTCGATATGAAATTCTTCTTGTTGAAGAACTTATAAGTAATCATTACAACATACAACAAGTAGTGCTAAGTATTTTTTGTTTGATGGTTGATAGAATTCAATTTTCTGGGAAAAAAATGTATCTGGAAAACACTGTCACATTATGGAGATTAAGCTACACATTTAAAGAGAACTTGTATGTCAATGTGTATAAATAGAATTACCCAGGGATTAGTTCTCCCTTCCTAATGTTTATATAAGGAGTAAAGTTGCAGCAGGGTCGCTAGAAAAACCAATAGAAAGGGGGATAGTGGCCCTAGAGGTAATAATTGTACACATTCAAGCAAAAGTTCTCTTAAAAAGTGTAGCTTAACTACCCTTTTATCTTATAAGATAGCCCCTTATCTAAAACTGCCCATCTCTACTACACTATAATGAAAAACAAGGCATTAATATAACAAAATATCACCACCCGATTACAAGTTCACTGAAGTGAAAATGTCCATAATTTTGTTGCCATGGTAACCAACATTGATGAAACCCTGAAGATGAATATTTCGAGATAATCTGGCAATGACATGTTACTGTCATCAATATGTTACAAATTTTTGGAGCGTTTTAAGTATCATGATAATATATTGCTAGGGAAACAGATGAAGCCAAAAATCTAAACCTTCATGAGATCTCAAAAGCCATTCATTATATGAAAATCCAGCCAACCTCATATTTATATCTGCAGTATTAAAGCTCATTGCTGACGTTCAATTAATGGTTTGTTAATGTTTCAAAAATGTTACATGTCCTAATAGATCACAATTCTTTGCCATGGTAACAAATATTGCCCAAAATCTTTGTGCTCACCATAAAAATCCAGCGAATTTGAATAAAAACAATTTTAAATTTAGAATATCAATTTACTCAGATAACTAGGGTGGAGGGGTTAACCCGAGAGTTCAAAGATGACCTACGCTAACAAAGTATATCTGTATTGAGATGACCTTCCAACTGATTGGTCAAAATCAACAAACAAAAATGGCGGCCTCAAAATTTTCAAAATACGCTTCGAATAATATCATGTTCATTTCTGGTGTGTTAACCAATATAATAGCTTATTTCATATCAAGAAAAAAGAAAAGTGTAAGGAATATACCTAAATCATCACCTCGAAGGAAGCGTAGTATTTGGAAACTAGCAGATGATAAGCAAGAGACGTTATCATGTCTGTTATCTCTAAGCTCTGGGGCTTTTCTTCCTCGTATACCAGACGTTCATGGCAAACAATAAAGGTGGCAAACAATAAAGGTGGCAACAATATGTCAGCACTTCTTGGTGGTGACATAATAAGCAGGATGAAACAACAACTAATACTCATGCTCTTACAATATTTACATAGTATTTATGTAAACTAACAACAATTAAAGCACTTATAAATACGAAATAATAACTACAGCTAACAAAAAATTAAAAAAATAAACGTTAGTTTAAAGATAACCCCCCAAAGAAATAAGACATAGACACCCTGCTAATCTTTACTTTTTAGATTTTATTCACATATTTCTTATTTGACTTGAAGAATTTTTTTCTAGGAAGAACCTCTGTAAAATAATTACTTTTTGCAAGTTCTCTTGAAATTTATTGCATGAAATGATTTTATGTGGACCAATTGTTATAAATTCAATCATAAATAGAGAATAAATAGAGAAAAATATCTGAATGAATAACTTTATACTTTATCTATATAGCTCAATAATTGACAAACATGTTCCAGGTCATTATTATATTCAAGTAACTCCTTTACTTTTTTACACTTCAGGGATGATCACTTATCAGCATTGACTGCCAAGTTTACATGGTTCAGATGGTAAAAAAAACTTGTACTCAATGAAAAAGTGTGTGCAGAAAATAATTTATAGCACTTATAAAAATGTGAACTACTTTGGAGTTTGTCTGTAGACTATACTTACCATCTTGTTCACCTTCGAATCCACGTTTGAATCCCATACCAGGCATACCGCCCATGGGTGGAGCAGCTGAAGTTGGTGCTGCAGCTGGAGCGCCATTTGTAGGTGGAGCGCCTGGAGCTGCAATTTTAGCTGCAATCTAAAACAAGGGAGAAAATTTAATACAAATATTGTTGCCAAGATAATGGAGGTCTTCTTGTGGCTTGCTGGGTTTGTTCTCTGCCATGTTACTTTCTAAATCATTGTACATATGTTTTAATTTGTTTCATTGTGATCCTTTATTGCTTATTTTTTAGATTCAAAGCTGTCTACGGAATTATGAATCTGATTGTGAGTATAATATGAGACCAAATAGGGATGTAACATCGACTTGTGGGGTAATGGCGACATGAGAGAAGGGGTAACTTCGACACTTACATATTAGAATTTGCATTTTCCGCCATGTTTGATTTCTGGAAAAATTAAAATCGTGCGAGATATCGATCCATGCGAGAAAAAACATGGCTTCCTAGATCGGAAATAAGAGCAAATAAACACAAGGTGTCTAAGTTACCCCATGTGTTGAAGTTCCCCCAAAATGTTGACGGTACACTCCTTCGCCCTGAGTGAAAAGTACAGAGAGTATATTTTAGTTTGTTTTCTAGTTTAGCTATCATATCTGTGTCCTCTTATATTTTGATACTTCTCTGCCCTGTTATTTTCGGAAAAATTAACATGGCTGAAACTCCCTAAATTACAAAAGGTCACAGCTTTGCTGCACATTATACATTACTATCTGAAATATACACAAGTTAGGATAAATATAAATGTTTATTTTTTAAATTCAAAGTACTCCTAAACATTACTGTTTTGACTATACACAGTGACCAACTGCCGAGGAAAAAGCGGCATTAATGCACTACAACAACAAAAGCTGTGGTTTGGTTGTGCATCAGTTTGCAATTACATGAAAATGAATGGAGAAATCAACCATAACCAAAATTGAATTTCCAACGAATAGAACATTTGAGGATTCGTAGAAATCATTTCATAAAAATAGCATTAGAACATCAAGACATATTCTCCATGACGCATGGTTCAAATAGAGAACTAAACTGAGATGTACGATGAACATAATTACCTCGTGCGTGGGTGAATTTCAATTTCTTTCTTCAGAAATTGAGAGCTGAGAAGTTGACTTGAATATTTGAGAAAATACGAGAATTGTCTAATCTTAACCTATGCATTAATGATCGGTAAAGTATACAGACCTGTCTGGCTCTCGCTACGGCATCAGCAAACGCATTTTGTTGCTCAAATTGACCGCCATTTGCAGCAGGAGGTGCAACATTTGAATAATCCATGATGGCGTGGTCTTCTTTGTGAATAAATGGATCGTTCTGATTGGTCGCTGAGTTTGATCTCAAATTATCGAGAACAATTTAATGGTCTTTCACTTATGATTATAAAGCTCCTACTTCTGAATTAATATTTTATTATATGAATTATTTAGTAATAATATATCATATATGAAAAATAGGCATATTATAGTTATTCACTGCAAATTCTACAAAACGCACGCACTAAACGAAACTTTCCCGGGTCTCATGCTGGAGTTACAAATCCCCGGGTAAGAATTGAACTGGTGGTTTTGTGTATCGTTTGTTTTCTAATCTGTCTTGTCTTGTCTATCCCACATCATTTGAGACTGAATGCTCTATTTTGTATGAGCACTTGTATCTCAAACTATTTTTATTGATGTTACTATCAATTTCTCTTTTTTTCTTGTAATCTCGTCTTGGATTCACGGTGATATATTTGTTCTAAAATATTGGAAAAGGGGGTATTGCACATTGCTTCTTTTTACGTTTGATCATGATTTTGGGATATATGGGTTTTGTTAAAATGGGTCTTATGACTAGGTTCCAACAACTTTTGCTCTTCTTCGGCTGCACTCAGTGATATTTATTCAATGTATATATTCCCTACCAGTATCTGTTTATTCATTTTCGTCTGATATCCGTTTGAATAAAACAGACTGTGTCTTTGTGGTTAAGTTATTTAAGTCTAATTTGATCACTTGCAGGGACAAACCTAGAAATCAATTAAATGGCTGGATATAATGTTTTCGAATTTTCTCTCTTCAGTCCCTGTTGCCCCTTTAAGATGAATTCTAGACTGTTTCTCAGGCGTCATTTTTGTACTTGAATTTTAACCTACTTATCTATATAAAGCTAGATTTGAGTCGAGTTCCTTATCTCCGATCCCTGCCAAGAGCCGGTGTAAAAGAAATTATGGTTCCCTTGGGATAATGGGCCTTTTAAAGGCCCTAACTGGCCCTGATTGTGGATACGATAATAAGGGAAAGAGTTGTATTTAGGTCACCATATAAATCCATGGAAAGTAGGACCATAATTTGATAGGACCACCTACCCTTTTACACCGGGTAGTTCACATGTACGTTTCTCGCAATTAAGGCCCCGGGATAGACTCAAACCTACAAGGTACTCCAACTCTCTAACGCAAAACCACCGGCCTCCACTGGTCCCTTGGTACTACGACATCACCCAGACAAATTCGTGTGTCAATTCCGGTCAAAATGTCATGTATAGATATTTATAAGCTTGTACTCGTATTAAGGGCAACTTTCGACTGTCGGTTATCGGATTAACCTACTATTTTGTGGGCAAATCATTTAAATATTGAATAGTACGTACCTGCCACGATTCCATTCATTTTTAAATGAATTGGTCATAAAAAGGTAACCCGGTAGCCGACAGCCGAAAGTTGAATTCGCGAATACAAGCTTAGTGATCTTTGTTTAAAAATTACAACAAGTCCAAGAGTCGAACCCTGCAAGCAAGTCACAAGAACGCTTGGAACCTCGACCATCGCTAACAAGTTGAGCCATAGAGCTGAAGTTTGTGGCATAATCAAAAATAAGAATTTCCCATAACTCTGACCCGCGTAATGACCATTTATACGTTGCTAGTAAAGCGTTTTGTTTTATTTTGTTCAGCTTGTATTCGCGAATCCAAATAACGACTAGCGGATACCGGATTGATTGCAATATGATGGCAAACTCGACTAACGGCCGGATTTTTCGTTTATTTACACATATATAGCTACATGTAGGCAAGGTGGTGTGCCCGATCCCAGCCAATCTGAACACAGTATTTCATATAACTGCACTCCATTATATAACAAGCAAATCACCCAAGGACATTCGTTGAATGGTTGTCAAAGAGACAACTTGATTCTACAGATTGAAATTGAACCTTTGCCAACTTTACCCTTAATTTTGTATGTTTTAGGTGATTCCGTAGAAAATATTTTGCACTGTGTGAAAATTAAATTAAGCCTAACTAGACTTGATGCATTGTGGGTGATTCATTCCCCTCAGGTGTTATTTCCTAAACTTCACACACTCTCGATGCTGCGCATCTCGTGTCAAAGGTTGAATTATCACTCAATCCACATTGCATTGTATAGGGCTTGAATCCTTAAAGAAACAACAAGGACTGTAAAGAGAAAATTCGAAATTTTTAATTTTTTTGCTGAGCTATCAGGTCAATATTTGGCTTAAAACCTTCTTTGACATACGTATTTTCTTAAAATGTATGTATAGACTATTGATTTCAGCATTAATAAGTGCATCCAGCGGGTTTCTTTGTACAGGAGATAATGAAAATATGTGTTAGTCTTGATGAAATATCCAAACTTAAATATATTTTGACACTGGTCGATAATCATTGAATGGCCTCTCTGCACTAATTGTTGCACCTTTAAATCAACTTCCAAATGACGGGTTAATTAGTATGTTAATCCAGTAGCCGACAGCCGTTATTTTTTCAATATTTTGGATTAACGATATCATATTAGGAAGTAATTACTAATTAATGATACATGGGGCCAAACAATCAATTGAGCCAATTACCGGCCAATAACGTTCCAGAGCAGGTCTTAATTTCTAGTCAACTACCCATTCTTCGAAATTCTAATCTACTCGATTTTGGGTTATTTTATGGATGTTATTAAACTTTTTCGTGTCGTTTGGGGCCTGGATTATTTCATCTGCACTGGTGATCCACTCGATTACGCTGGTTACCGAAACGGTTCGTTTTGGTAACAAAATGTCGGAACGTCGAAGGTACGATTTTTCTCTTTTCCTTATTTCACGCGTTGTAGGCAGAATACCCAAGACATTTTTAACACCAGTATCATATGTTTAAGAAAATGTACATATGCGCGAACAAGGCTAAACAAAAAATTGTTTCAATTTTAGAATATTTTTGGCTCATGTCATTCCTTGTCATGTCTATTTTCTAAAAATCACAAAAGTGCATACTTTATTCCAGGAAAACTAAAGCTTTTTACAATAATGTATTATTTTTCTAAAAGAATGGTTACCATTCTTATTATTTGGGAGAATTTAAATATTTTCACTCATTTTTGCACTTTGAATCATTAATAACTTCACCAATTTATAACATATTGTGAATCTTTTGGGAGATATTGTATTTGATATTGTAAGGAATAGATTGGTAGGTCAATTATACATGTTGCTTGTAATTTTGTCACCCCCTATAGATCAGATTCTGCCTTTAAGTGAGGAATTAAATCGACGATTCTGTTGTCTTCTGATCTATTTTTTCGCAAACATGACCATTTTCTAAAACATATGATACTGATACACGTTTGTGATAAAAAACGTCGTGGGGATTCTGCCTAAAAAGAAAATCGTACCTTCGACGTTCCGACATTTTGTTACCAAAACGAACCGTTTCGGTAACCAGCGTAATCGAGTGGATCACCAGTGATCTGCATAACTTTTTACGCCTATAATAACCTGTACGATGAGTATTTTGCATCCTCCAAAGCAGGTGTCCAGAGTCCGTATATGTTCTGGATTTTGAAGCCTCGTGATCGGAGGATGAGTATTTTGAGGAACATGGTGAAAATGTCAAGTTGCATTTGAAATATACCTTAAATGCTTTTCACATGTATGGTATATTGATTTGGTATCCCCTTGAATTCCGGGGGGGGGATAAAGTAACTACCTGGGTGGATAAAGTAAACAAAATGACGATGCTATGGCCAACATAAATCAATTTTGTGGTATTTCTTACAAAATGTTTATTTCAAATATACATTAAATTACAACAGTACTCGTATAGTCATATAGATTCATAAATAAAAATCTTACTAGCTTTGTTATCGAATGAAGAAGATATAATTAATTAATCATAAATATAAAGGACGATGTCAGTTTTGAACGTGAGATGAAAATGCATATTATCTACCTGAGTATGGGATAACAATTTTTAGATATACAGAGTGTCCATGAAGTCCCTTACATACACACTTTACATCTCTTTATCGTATGATCTGTAAATGAAGCCCGGTGTGAAAGAAATGATGGTCCCCCAGGGATCATGGTCCCCTTTCTTAACGGCACTTACTGGGCCCTGATTGCGTATAAGATAATTAGGGAAAGAGTTGTACTTACTACTTAGGTCACCATATAAATCAATGGAGAATAGGACCATTATTTGATAGGACCTCCTACCCTTTTACACCGGGAATGAAGCCTTCTGATTGGTCAGTTCTTGTGCTGTAACAATCTGTATTGCCACTGAGATTGTCTCGTCTCGTTCCAATACGGAATTTCTCGAGTAGAACATATCCTGTATTGCACTTCAAATCATTCAATAACTTATAGTATTGTAATTGATAGATGTACTTTATGGACACTCTGTATTGTTTACTTGAAAAGATCGATCTACTTGATAATCAATGTTTATTGACATTGTTAATTATTTTCATTTTCACTTTTTATATTCCCTTTGCCTTCTTTTGAAGTGAAGCAGATATACATGATTGTCATATACAGTAATGCGAGGTTTTGGATATGGGTTTTATCCTTAAGACAATACGCACAGGCCTAGGTGAAAGAATGATATCAATTCAATGAATTAATCCATCAAATAAAATGAAACAATTTTTGGAAACAGCTCCATGCACCCCATTTGGTGAAATAAAAACACACAAATGAGAGTTCAATGAGAAACACCAATCCATCTATTTCAGCTCAATTTGCTCACTCACTACATGTGGTATCTTTATAGTGTACGACACTGACGAGTTAATGGGAGCCAAGACTCGTATATATGGCACTTAACTACGAGGTTGGTCTTCACATCTGGCCCATTGGTTTGAGTGTAAATGTTGCTGTTTTAAAACTTCAAATTCACTACATATATCAAATAAATATCATATTTTCCTTCCTTATTATTTACAAACATGTTTTAAGATTCAAAATTAAAACGTTTTGGATATTTTCAATAACATTCATCATTTTTGGAGCAATTTTTACATGTTAAAGTATGCTATTAAACCCATTGAATTTTTCGCCATCTATTGACAGTCCTGAAGGCCATTGGCATTCAGTTTAGATTTGAGTAAACGTGTACCAGACACACTTATTTATACAATCATACATATGCAGGATATAAGATGCAAAGTTAATGTAAAATGTGTATGTACATTATCGTTGTGCTATATAGTCAGTGAATTACACGGAGGTAGATACATAATGTGCCATCTTCAAAAACAGCTTTTTACTTATTATCCAGCATTGACACAAAATCGTAACATTTCCACAAATCCATCATGTACTGGATTCATTCTGTGAAGCTACATCTATCATGGAGAGTGGTACACTGTTTTATGAAGGGAGTAATTTAAAGGGCCACGGAGTGTCAGTGAATTAGACGATAAGGAAACCTGCCACCTTTTGGTACATCAACTTGACAAGGAAGCTCTGATATATTGGCTCGATTGCAATTGATGATGTCATTGGCATTGCTACCTTCAACCTATAACATAACATATTCTAGCATTCTAAATAAATGACTTTTGGCGGCATAATAATTTATTTTCAATGGTTGGTCTGGTCGACCTTGTGCACAGAGAAATAATTTTACAGGCTATTCAGTTTGGACCCAGTGTTGCAATAGATTTTGAGGGTGGTATATTTAAGACTTACAACCTACAGAAAATAATGGCTACCAGCAGTAGTACGTAATTTATTTCTCATTTTATCATTAATTTGGCAGGTTACAATACATTACATTTACTCTGTGTATACAGTTTAGAAATTCACATTTCTATGTTGCAATGTAGCTAACAATATTCTATTATTGCTATACTACAGAGACTAATATGTTATATTAATTGCAATGCAAAGAATTATACATGATATTTCTAGATTGCAATGTGGAATGATAATTTTATATTGCATTGTAGAGTATGATATTTCTAAAGTGCAATGTCAAGAATGATATTTTATATCATATTGCAATGTATAGAATGATATACAATATTTCTACACTGCGATTCAGAGAATGATATATCTATATGATTACAACAAAGAGTATATCATTTCGGTTGTTGTTAAACCATTGAAAACAAATAAATCTCTTAGTATGTCCCATGTATCCATTCAAATTTACATGAAATGAATAAGCAATTTCACGATTTTGACCATATTTGGTCAAAGAACTGCGAAACGATTTTTGCAAAGTACTGATGCAGTACCCATAGGACTATATTCAGGAGTACACTACAAGTGCCATAAAAAATTTGTCTTTGTTGTTTTGAAATAGACACAACAGGACATACGGAACATTTAACCAAGCCTAGTTTTTATGAGTATTATTTTTTTTAGTCTAGCTTACACCCACATATACTTTTCTCTCCAATTTCTGCGGGTGGACTCGGTTGTGTGATAGTCACTTTACAGCAATCTGGGCAGCCCACTTGGGGCATCTTCAGCTCTAAAAGTCCATCTTTGAGTTTCTGGATGTCCATATCTATGGTGAAATCAACAGATTTCCTCTTTGGTAATTTATAAAGATCTACATTGATCTTTGGAGATGGCTTTGAGGTATGTGTGTCTTTTTTAGCGTTTGTTTTATTTGATTTTAATTTACTTTGTCGCAGTTCTTGGTCACCAAGTGAGAAGTGCACATCTGTATCGGACTTGTTTTCGGGAACATCTGAAAAATATTTTACAAAATTATTTCCCAAAATCAGACCTTAAAAATCCAGAGGGCAACATTGGATAATACAAAATACCCAGGCTAATTATTCTAAAAAATTGCATAAAATCGAAGTGTAATTGTTTATTAGTTTGTCATAATGTTGTAGTAGGGCAGTACCCATCTCTTTACATTCCAAGCATATATGTATACGAGCTCTAAACTCCAAGAAAATTAATTTTCTGTATTATCTGACTATCATCGTGTTCGAAACCAAAAATTTCATATTATGTAATTTGAAGAAAGTAGTCTTATTTTCTTTATTTTTCTTTTAAATATTTTTACTGTATTTTTTTATTGATGTAGGTTTGGCCATAATAGGACATTAGTGCAACTAAAGATTTATGAAAAAATCACAAAGTGAGAGCATTTTTATCGGAATATATGGATCGCTCCTTGTATTTGTAGATTAACAGAATCTTTGTGCTTTACCCTCATGTATGGTATCACCATTCAGAACACCATTAAAAGAATGCTTTCTCTCTGAATTTTGAGTATTGAAGAACACTTCAGCCTCGCTCTTTTTGTGGTGCATCATAAAGCCATTGTCAAAGGACCTAAAATGTAAAATGATAAAATGATGAATAAAAACGAGATGACAGGATGATGCCAAGACTACTGATTTGAAACTATAAATCTATATCCAAAATTGGGTCAAAAGTGAAGCTACATAACATGTAATCTGTTATCAATTTTTGAAATAGTTATGCGTGGTTGCACCCCGGGGTTGCAACATTAGAACATTTAAGAATTTTCTCAAACTTGGTAAGATCCTTTAACTATTTACCCAGTCTGGTTGTTGCTTGGTAAGAGCCTTTAACTCCTTATCCAAGATCTGGCGGATGCTTTCTAAGATCCCTTAACTGTTGCTTTGTAGGTTCCTTTAACTACTTACCCGAGGTCTGGTGGTTGCTTGGTAAGATCCTTTAATCACTAACCAAGATATGATGGTTGCTCTCTAAGATCCTTTAACTACTTAACCGAGATATGATGGTTGCTTGGTAAGATCCTTTAATTGCTTAACGGAGATCTGATGGTTGCTTTCTAAGATCCTTAAATTCTTAACCAAGATATGATGGTTGCTTGGTAAGGTCCTTTAACTATACTTACCCGAAGGTCTGAAGGTTGCTTGGTAAGATCCTTTAACTACTTACCGGAAGGTCTGGTGGGTGCTTGGTAAGATCCTTTAACTACTTACCCAAAATCTCTTGATTCCTCAGCACGACCCTTTAACTACTTACCCGAGGTCTGAAGGTTGCTTGGTAACTTTAATTACTTAGCGGAGATCTGATGGTTGCTTTCTGAGATCCTTTAACTTCTTAACAGAGATATGATGGTTGCTTGGCAAGGTCCTTTAACTACTTACCCGAAGGTCTGAAGGTTGGTTGGTAAGATCCTTTAACTACTTACCCAAAATCTCTTGTTTCCTCAGCAAGACCCTTTAACTACTTACCCAAGGTCTGAAGGTTCCTTGGTAAGATCCTTTAATTACTTAGCGGAGATCTGATGGTTGTTTTCTGAGATCCTTTAACTTCTTAACCGAGATATGATGGTTGCTTGGCAAGGTCCTTTAACTACTTACCCGAAGGTCAGAAGGTTGGTTGGTAAGATCCTTTAACTACTTACCCAAAATCTCTTGTTTCCTCAGCACGACCCTTTAACTACTTACCCGAGGTCTGAAGGTTCCTTGGTAAGATCCTTTAATTACTTAGCGGAGATCTGATGGTTGCTTTCTGAGATCCTTTAACTTCTTAACAGAGATATGATGGTTGCTTAGCAAGGTCCTTTAACTACTTACCCGAAGGTCTGAAGGTTGGTTGGTAAGATCCTTTAACTACTTACCCAAAATCTCTTGTTTCCTCAGCACGACCCTTTAACTACTTACCCGAGGTCTGAAGGTTCCTTGGTAAGATCCTTTAATTACTTAGCGGAGATCTGATGGTTGTTTTCTCTGAGATCCTTTAACTTCTTAACCGAGATATGATGGTTGCTTGGCAAGGTCCTTTAACTACTTACCCGAGGTCTGAAGGTTGTTTGGTAAGATCCTTTAACTACTTACTCAAAATCTCTTGATTCCTCAGCACGACCATTTAACTACTTACCCGAGGTCTGAAGGTTGCTTGGTAAGATCCTTTAATTACTTAGCGGAGATCTGATGGTTGTTTTCTGAGATCCTTTAACTTCTTAACCGAGATATGATGGTTGCTTGGCAAGGTCCTTTAACTACTTACCCGAATGTCAGAAGGTTGGTTGGTAAGATCCTTTAACTACTTACCCAAAATCTCTTGTTTCCTCAGCACGACCCTTTAACTACTTACCCGAGGTCTGAAGGTTCCTTGGTAAGATCCTTTAATTACTTAGCGCAGATCTGATGGTTGTTTTCTGAGATCCTTTAACTTCTTAACCGAGATATGATGGTTGCTTGGCAAGGTTCTTTAACTACTTACCCGAAGGTCAGAAGGTTGGTTGGTAAGATCCTTTAACTACTTACCCAAAATCTCTTGTTTACTCAGCACGACCCTTTAACTACTTACCCGAGGTCTGAAGGTTCCTTGGTAAGATCCTTTAATTACTTAGGGGAGATCTGATGGTTGTTTTCTGAGATCCTTTAACTTCTTAACCGAGATATGATGGTTGCTTGGCAAGGTCCTTTAACTACTTACCCGAGGTCTGAAGGCCGGGTCTGAAGGTTGCTTGGTAAGATCCTTTAACTACTTACCCGAGGTCTGAAGGTTGTTTGGTGAGTTTCCATGTTTCACTTTTCAATGCTGCACATTTTTCAGCGATATTAGGGTCTGATTTCCTCCCCGCCAGCCAATATGTCTTCATCTCACCTTTACCCTGCAGTAATAAAGTTAAAATTCACATAAACATTACAAATGTATTTTATTCATTGATGTTTTGGCAGAAAGTGATTTTAATTCCAAGCATTGGAGTAACTAAATGAACACGATATCGAATCTTGCACCTGTTCAAAAGTTGAGTATTTGGAAATATACGTGATGAATTAGGACTCTTAAATTCCGATGTCGGAAATTTTTTATCAAAATTTCTGAAATGAATATTTTGAACCTAGTTAAGAATTAATAGGAAAACAAATGATTACGATGGGAATGGAAAACACTTAATACTTTTCAGGTATTTAGGTCAGATGACCTCGACGATTAAAATGCACTCTCACATATAAACTAAAAGAAAATATGAGAGGATTGTTGAAATTCATAGATATAATTACAGACTTGAGAAACTATAGGAATTTGAATGCGTGATGAAAGAGTTGGTTTCTGTTTTTCTGTAATTGTTCAGGATTAACCTTAAATGTGTTTTATTGGATTCAGATGTTGGGCGGGCATGTCCAGAAAGGTTTTACATGTTACAGATCTCCCAGCTTAATTCCCTTTCTGGCAATTTACGAAGTTACAAAAAAACACACGTTAATCCTTGTGCAAAATGTTGTGTTAATACCATCTCCACAAGCAACAAACAATCAACCAATCAACCAGCCAAACAAATAAACAGTTTGCGCTATAATTGAGTCAATTATTTTGTCAGAGAACTTAATTAACTTACACGGGAGTGATCGAAATAAGATAAAACGAAAACAGTGACCTCGTGGGATGTTTACAGACATACTCATCACAACGTGCAGCCAGGAAACTGGGGGAAAACCCATGTTTCAACAGGTGGTATCCGAGGACAATTTCCTGTTTTCTCTCCACATAAAAATGTTTATGTTTTCCATCTGAATATCAACTGGAAATTGTTTTAATTTAATTAAAGAGAGAATCAGATTTAGCGAGCAGGCCAACAAAAAATTGTTTCAATTTAAGAATATTTCTGACTCATACCATTCCTTGTCATGTCTATTTACTAAAAATCCCTGAAGTGCACACTTTATTTCAAGAAAACCAAGAATTTTACAATAATGTATTATTTTATAAGAATGGACCCATAATTTGAAAAGAACCAAACATTTTATTGTAAAAACGGTGATTCATAAGCTAAATACTATAGAGAGAATACACTCCCCTTCATAAGTTTGGACAGCGTAGCAAATCCCTTTGTTCCTTACAATAGCTCGGATGATAATTAGATGAACTCTTAAATCATCAAAATATAAACGGGCTTGGATTCATCTCAAATTGCCAAACTCATGGAGGGGAGCGTAGGATGGCCCTTAACGATAATGGGAAGTAAATTGAATTAGAACGCTGCACTGAAATGTAATTAAGGTAAAAAACAAGCCGAGATGGTGTAACCACAAGTTCAGTAAAATGTCTGTTAAAGCTCTGACCAGAATCCTTTACATATACATCGCAATCTGTTTAAAGGGGCAACAAGGACTGCAGAGAGAATATTCGAAAATATTTATTTTTTCTGAGCTATCAGGTCAATATTTGGCTTAACATCTTCTTTGACATACCTATTTTCTTAAAATGTATGGGTAAACTATCAATCTCAGCATTAAAAAGTGTTAATTCAGTTCAATAAAAATATATGTCAGTCTTGATGAAATATCCAAATTTAGATATATTTTGACACTGGTCGATTATCATTGAATGGCCCCTCTGCGCTAATTGTTGCACCTTTAATCCGAACACCACTGGGACTGGTCAAAATTGTTCAAATTAGCAGGTGTTTCTTAATAGGTGAGCCAATTGGAGATAACAAAATTGGGACTGCAAAAAAGTGTTCACGTTTAGAAGTCTGGCCCGTAGCCAGGGGGGGGGGTTCAGTGGCCAAAATTTCTTTCAAAATCATGCAGTTTTTCACCATTCTGAGCACCCTTTAAGTGATTTTGGCAATTTTTGGACCAAAATTGTCAAAAGTGACCCCCCCTGGAATTTTTCAAAAAGTGAGCCCCCTTGGCAAATCCTGGCTACGGACCTGGACGTATTCGGATTGGAGAGATGTTCAGATATACAGGATTTATTTGCACCGAGATGATTTTTTTCCAATGATGACGATGGTGTTGATTGTACTGATTTCTCAGTTAGTTGAGAGACAAACGCCAGATTAAAACACAATTAAAATTCTTTGTTCGATTTACTTCAGGCACTTTAGTTATTTATGTGTCAGGTAAATGCCTTTACATCAGGTTCAAATTACAAATAAAAATGCCCTAAATAAGTTAAAGAGGAAATATGTGTTATGTCTGAGATTTTCTACAATAACATGCCTTAAAGAGTAGGAAATATATCAAGTGTTATGTCTCAGATTTTTTACTATATTTTTCTATCATTTTCCGTATTAAACTTTTACTATTACTTATTACTATACTTCATATTGATATGATCTTATATCACTAATAAATATCTGCATCGGATTCCTTTTTGCAACGTTTCGACGAATGTAAAATATAATTTGATACATTTTTTTTATTCGAAACGTTTGACTTTGGAAAAAACAGAGCATGTCTGTTAGGAGTTCAATATTTTCATAACCGCCAAAAAACGTAATTATTTACGTCAGGAGGACGGGGATAAACACTATTTAATTAGGCGACGGGCAGTGATTTTTAGTTTCCCGGTGTTTCGTCTTTTGCAATATCCGGCCGTTTGGCAGTGATGGTATATACTCAACAGATATATATACAAAGAATTTATAATGTGTTCTTTATATAGCAGTATCAGAAAGTGTGTGCTGTCGGGTTGCACATGTACACAAATCAACATTTTGACTCGTTTTACACCGCGAGTGGATCATAATTTTGACTTTCGTTACAAGGGGGTAAAGACCATACTAAATTAATTTTTGACGGAGATTGAAATATTGACCCGGCCCCTTAATGTAAATATATGTACATATAAGTACATAATAAACTATTTTACTGCAACATTGTTATAACAACATTTAGAGCAAAATTGTTTACACTGTTTATTGTTTATTAGTAATATGGAGTAGATTGGGAGAAACGATGATGTATATGTTTTTTGGTTAATGTACCCAATTGATCTCATTTAAATATATACTATATCTAGTAACAGTGCTGTACAATATTAAGCATTGTAGAATTAAAGTAATTGTAATCCAATGGAATTTATATAGCCTCAAATAAAAATCTGCTTCAGATCAGATTAAGTGAAGTACATTGTTCCAGAAAAAATGTTAAAATAGTAATTTCATAAATAAACTGAAAAATCAAAATAACTAAAGATAAGTTTTCTGTTATGTACATGTACCCAATACGCAACAATGTGTGTAAATCCCAGAAAACGGCACTGGTTATTTTGAGAGGGGAAACTCGTGAAATATACATGATCAGACCATACTTTTTTGACTTGGCTTCAGCAGGTTATCATCTGGTTAACATATAGTATGATCTGGAAATACTCTTTATGATCTCAGTTCTTGGTTCAAAAGGCGGGGAACCGTTGATCTTGACATTGTAGCCATTAATTAGCGCTCTCTCTAAGACAAAACATGCCATATAATCCTTCAGAAAAAGTGAACAGTTCCCATAGGGAGTTGCCATTCTTTTGGTATGGTTTAGTCCTAGTCCCCCCCCCCCTCTTCGGCAGGGGAAACCAATATTATTCTTGTGTTAAATTTTTCTATTTTGTTACCAAAATTGTTTTTGGTCACAATTTTTCTAATTTGTTTTAATTTCCAAAGTACCTCATTTTTGAGAAAAGAGGCATTTAACAGAATTTCAAATTTGGGCTTGGACACAAAAACACCCCAATTCGGGGTATTATGCCATATACCCATATACTATATCTAACTAATTAGAATGATCGACGAGAATATTATAATGGAGAACAGCATCGATATGATAATGCAACTATGACTTAAGGGAAATTACCTCCTTTGTATCCCCAAGAAGGTATCAGGGAAAATCTTCAAATCTGATGTCAAGAACTTTCGGGTTTACAAAGGCCTATTGTGAACTTGTGGTGTAAAAGTCAGTCTTAAATTTCAATCCATAAATAATCCATAAAAATCTCTCACAAAGTGACTGCAGGTCGTTAAAATATATTTCAACCTTAAGCCTGAAATTCCGACTTAACCATAAAAACCAGAGAGAGCCTTATAAACTAGAGAAAAACTAAAAAACAGCAACTGTCACACACAAATTAAAAAATGGAAACCTTATAACGTAAAACACCAAAAATAAATAATAATCTACTAGAACAAGCCTTAGGTTTCAAGTGAAACAGAAAAACATAATTTTGTATCGCTAATGTATATGTTTATTGTTGCATTGTCATATTCCCCACTCTTTGATTGGTCCATTTAGTACATGTGACCACAAATACTGTATGCAGGTGGATACTCGTTTCATAGGTGTGATATCATAAAAGGGTAAATCCACCTGCGTTAATACTCTGGGTGCAGTATTTTTGTACAGTGTAAAATTGTATTCATTTCAGTACCTGTAGTTCAAGCTAATTAACATGCTTAAATAACAGAACAAATATTTCATTATATTTTGGTTATACTTTCAATGGTTCTGCAAGGTGTACACGTACCTTTCAGAATCACCGAAATGCAAATGGATGATTCACTTCAATGAAAATGAAGATTTAATTAACATTGTAAAGTTAAAAGATTTTGAAAAATTATGAAATGAAGTAAAATCAAAATGAAGTAAAAATGAAACTTCGTTCGGGGATGATTTCACTGGGGATGATTTCACTGGGGGAGAATCTACAGTTATGAGAATAGCAGAATTCCAGTAAAAATTGAAATGGTCCCTGTATTACTCTCACCGCAAAATGAAAACAACAATACCATTTTTTCAAAAATCAGTATTTTGACCCAATCCCTCAAGTAAAGGTTGCACTGACTTGACAGCTCCCCGGGCTAATGTCAATGATTCTGAATTTGAAATCAGCAACACAGTACTGCACTCTAGGCCTATGAGATAAAATTAACCATGAACGTTCATTCGTCAAATTAATAATTGACTGTCTCCACGCGTGTTTCTTACGATCACTGAATTAAAATATGCTAAATTCATTAAATGTATCAATATACATGTATTTGTTTACTTCATAATCGATAACAAATAGCCATTAGAGCCTAAAATATACAAAGACAAATGATTTAACTATTCAGCGTTATTACTACCCAATATACAGTATCTGCGAACGAGATCTTATTTCTAACTTCTGAGTGGGTTAAAAAACCTGGTCGAAACAAGGGAGTTATATTGATATAAGACTGTGCGGTAATCTTTCATTTACATCTAGACATAGTCAGACCTGGGATAGAAACCACAAGACGCTTAGCAGATCTTAAGAATAGGAGCATGTAAATATTTATAAACTATAATTGATTTGAACTGTTTGAGCGGAAAATGGGTAAGTTGTTGTCTTGTTGTCTTAACATTGATAAGAAATTAAGCATTGCGTACATGATGATGCAAACAGGAATAACTTTGGTTGTCAAGAAGTTCCATTTTTTAATAGAATAATTTTAAAATGTTTTAAACTAAAGCAAAATGATTCAAGAACTTTTTATTGCATCTGTTTTTTATTTTTATCAAATGGCAGTGTTTATGTTGATCTTCAAACTCATGGGAAATTTCAAATATTAATTTATAAACTTTCATTTGAGGAAGTTAGTCACAGAGTTTACAGTTTTTTAATCATACACGTTTTCATTCACCTTAAAAATAGTGAGACTTACATAATGTATTTTATATTTTATAAAGTATTTCAACCATTATACTTTATTAAATGGAATTTTTATTTTAAATTTTCAAAAATGCTTTCTGAAAATCTTTTTGATAAAGCTAAAGTTATATCATGTAAAATACAATAATGATACATAATTACAAAAACTATTTACAAAATAAAAATCACGTAAGAAAAAAGGCATTAACATGCAAAATTTCACCACCTACCATTTGTTACAAAAGCCAACCGCCGAACACTAACCGCAGAATGCCGACCGACGAGTTCACAAATGTTGCAGACTATAACAATGTGTCATCACTTCTAGTGGTGAAATAAAAATGACCAGCTAGCCCCCTTAACTAATTTCTTTTCGTTTTCATTTATTGATATCTGGTTGTAATTGCATGTACAACTTAAACTGGATACCACACAGTTCGGTAGATTATTCATCGGGGAAATATGCAACTTACTTATTTGGAACTTCCATACTCCCTTAAACCATACAAAAATGTGGTTTAAATGCCAGCTGTAAGTCAATTCAGATTGAATTAATCTTTTCACCATGTAACTTCTGCAACAAAGGAGTTGTGGCTTATAATACAAATCTATCGAGTCACTCTTCTTGATATCTAACACTGAATCATACAGTACGAGTTGAGTGATCAATGATATTTTACCAGCTAACCTCCTTAATGGTCTGTTCGTAGGAACTGCTGTTTCACGATCTCTATCCAATGGCTGATACATATAACCAATGTGTCTCTCAGAGTTAACATTGATCAAGAAACCTTCACCGGCTACTGAATGCCGTGGTCACATTTCCATACATGTAACTACTGTGGTCGGACAACCAGGAACGCATGGCGTATGTGCTACTATATGTCGTATAGGAATGAGACTAAAATCACCACCATCTAACTCCCTTAAATTGTTTCAGATTTGATCCAATGTTTCACAATCGCCATTCTATGGACCATACATGTAACTACTGTGGTCGGACAACCAAGAACGCACGGCTTATGTGCTACTATATGTCGTATAGGAATGAGACTAAAATCACCACCAGCTAACTCCCTTAAATTGTTTCAGATTTGATCCAATGTTTCACAATCGTCATTCTATGGATCATACATGTAACTACTGTGGTCGGACAACCAAGAACGCACGGCTTATGTGCTACTATATGTCGTATAGGAATGAGACTAAAATCACCACCAGCTAACTCCCTTAAATTGTTTCAGATTTGATCCAATGTATCACAATCGCCATTCTATGGACCATGCATGTAACTACTGTGGTCGGACAACCAAGAACGCACGGCTTATGTGCTACTATATGTCGTATAGGAATGAGACTAAAATCACCACCAGCTAACTCCCTTAAATTGTTTCAGATTTGATCCAATGTTTCACATTCGTCATTCTATGGATCATACATGCACCTTTTGTGGTTGGACAACCAGGGACGCATGGCTTATGTGATACTATGTCGTATAGAAATATGAGACTAAAATCACCACCAGCTAACTCCCTTAAATTGTTTCAGATTTGATCCAATGTTTCACAATCGTTATTCTATGGATCATACATGTAACTACTGTGGTCGGACAACCAGGGACGCATGGCTTATGTGCCACTATGTCGTATAGAGATATGAGACTAAAGCAACAGAACAACCACCATTGTCAGATGCTTGAGAACATACAGCATGAGATTATGTACACTGACAAAAATGAGAGGCACAGAAAACATAATCAAATTATGAAGTAAGTGAAAATTACCTTAACCTGTAATCTGAACCCACTGCGAGAGAGGCAAAATAATATTATGAAAATCCCTTTGGACCAACCTTTTAAAGCGTTGGACCACCATGTTGTCCGACAACAACAAAGGAAATCCAAAAGCCCATTTTAATATAGGCCATAAGTCACCTTACATATTATGGTTCCTGAATGTTAATCCTCTGAAGTACCTTAATCTATTTTTCATTTAAAAAATCATAATTTCAGTCTACTAAGTGGAAATGTATACAGGGAAAACATTTTATGTTAAGGCATAAAGTCAAGTGCTTTAAAGGCAACCCACTCACTTGCGAATTCAAGTAAAGCCTCAGTCACATTTGCTCTACGGCGGTCGTAGCTTCACATAATTGATATAGAAAATCTATATCGTACTGCTTATCCCTATACAGTGTAGTATTTAGTGCTGCATATTTCTCTCCATTTTGGGAAGATACGTCCGCAGTACGGTTGCCGTAGATCAAATCTGACTGGCGCATGAGGAACAATTTAATGTCGGAATATTTGATGGAGACCTTTAAAAATGTTCCGTATGTCTATCAAAATTTCAGTGTCCTACTTGGGCTAGAGACAAAGATGAACATGTTACTTGACGAGGGAGTTCACCAGGTTGTTTTCAGACCTCCTCCTGAAGTTGGCACCTTTGTAGAAATGGATGATATGCCTGTTTTACATGGTAAGATTAATTTGGTGAGGCATATGAATCGTTTGGACAAGGTGATACGTCAGTATGTACAGACAGATTTCACAAGGGGACAATAGTTAAAGGGGCAACAAGGACTGTAGAGAAAAAATTCAAAAATTTATATTTTTTCTACAGCTATCAGGTCAATATTTGGCTTAACATCTTCTTTGACATACCTATTTTCTTAAAATATATGGATAAACTATCAATTTTAGCATTAGGAAGTGTAAATTCAATTCAAAGCTTCTATAGAGGGAGTCCCACTTATAGATTTTTAAGATCCAACACATTTCAAGAGGAATATCAGCTGAAATAATGTTCATCCAGGGGGTTTCTTTGCAGATAATGAAAATATATGTTAGTCTTGATGAAATATCCAAACTTAAGTATATTTTGACACTGGTCGATGATCGTTGAATGGCCCCCCTGTACTAGTTGTTGCACCTTTAAGTACATTTGGTTTGCCCACATCCATAAGGGAATGACTTTACATTTGAAAATCAATTTCAATTCAACTACTCATTTTCAGGAGTGGAATGGGTAGATCTGATATAAAGTTTTGTTACTTGTCCCCAACTGTGTCAATATTTAGATCATGTTAACAGGTGCGTTTGAAGGACATGATTTCAAAAGTTAGACATGGTCATGACATAATCAGACAACACAAGGGGCAAATAGAATTAACAACTTTAACTGTGGATTCACTTTCCATATTTTCAGATTGTTCTGCGTTGCTGAAGTTTGGGTTGACTACAAGTGGAGTGTACGCAGTAACGACCCCTACTGGACACATCATCAATGTCTACTGTGATATGGACACCAAGGATGGCGGATGGATAGTCATCCAGCGACGACTAAACGCCAAAGTCAGCTTCGACAGAAACTGGGACGAGTATAGAAATGGGTTCGGTGATTTGCATACAAGTTTCTGGATGGGAAACGAGTACATTCATCTGTTCACGAGCAACAAAACTCAAAGAGTCAGGTTTGACATGTGGGATTGGGAAGGCAATACCGCATATGCGGAATACGACAATTTCAAGGTTGATTCTGAAATGGAAAGTTATCGGATTCATATATCTGGTTACAAAGGCGATGCTGGTGACGCAATCAACCATTACCATGACGATATAGGATTCAGCACGGCTGATAAGGATAATGATAACTGGTATGGGAATTGTGGAAAACGAGACAAGGCTGGTTGGTGGTTCAGAGACTGTAGTTATGCATCACCGAACGGACGCTACCACGACCTTGAAGACCCTAGAGGATATCACCAAACAAGCTTTGAGGATGGCATCATTTGGTACCATTGGAAACCTGACTACACATATTCACTCAAACGCATAGAGATAAAAATGCGGCCGAGTGAATAATTGTGGATCTTTATTTAAAAAATGATGCTGGATTTCTAAATGTGCCATTTTAATGAATATGCTTAACTATATAACAATGACTATTCATTTGTCTGCATAATTAGAGAAACAACTAGCCATTAATCTCACGGGTGAAAAATGGAAAATAAATATTTTATTGTATTTACAAATATGAAAAAGCATAATAAAATCTCTGAAAAGTTAATAATAAATGAGTAAGAATATCAGTAAAGTGAAAAGTGTAAAGCAAAACTCATACAATTGTAAATTCAAAACCTCATATCGTGTAAATGAAAACTGTTTAGTAAAACCCATATCAGTGAAATACAGTTCACAAAAGAGATAATCTTTATCACTACATGCATTTTATAGCACTCAGTGTTTTCGTGTTGTAGCCTTACTCTTTCAATCGCAAGGGAAAAAGATGGTGCAAGGCATGACAATTTTGCACATAATTTTACCTTCACATTAATTGTTCCTCTGAAGATGGTGACAAAGTCTGAACCATCCAAGCATGTATTACACGGGTCACTGACATGGATTCTATCTGCCTGAAATTAGAGAAATCGATGACTTGTTTATATGCAGATAACATTTTTACATATAACTGGTTTATGTTGTTAACGAAGAGGGATCTCCCTTGAGAGTGTACTGGGTACCGAGCAAAGATTCCCCCTTGAGAATTGAACAGGCAAAAACGGGGTAAGCACCTTACAGATGGCCCTATCTTCAAAAGATGTGGCATATATGGACAAAAGTTCAACATTTTCAAGATTTTCGGCCACTCACACAAAAAGGAAAATATATAACTTGCCCGAAGCCAGGTTTTACCAGGAGGGGGAGCTTTTTTCCAGGAGAGGGAGCCTTTTCACAATTTTGGCTAAAAATCATGCTCCCCCCCCTACTACGGGCCTGTATAATATACATGACATGCCTGATGAATGAGTATTAAGCTTTGATATGTAAAATATAGACAATGTTCAATTGCTGGTCATCGATTAATATAACAATATACTTTTAGAGTAGTTTGATTTTAGAAAATATATATACTATTAGTAGTAGATTTTTAAAGGTCACCTGGCTATATGACTGCATTCTTGAAGATGTGTTGACAGTGTCCCCAAATAGACAATATTGTGGGGTACATCTACCTACAATACCTGCTACCACTGGCCCAGTGTGCATTCCTACAAATAAGGAATTATGGTTTACAGTAAAATATCTCAAGCGGAATACCTCTGTAAGGAATAAGGAGAATGTACCAAAATCGTTTCACTTATTATTTATGCATGTTTAACTGTACGAGTAATTTAGTTTTGCTTTTTCCAAGATAGTCACAATATTGCCTAAACAGAGTGTGTATACAATCAATTTTATCTTCGCTTTCCACTAGGTGTACGACCCTTTCAGGTGGACACAACTAATGTTTTGTCAGTGGTTGAAATGTACAAGATTATACTGTGTTGATTAAATGTTTATTTTTAATTCATTCCTTAGTGGGTTCACTCCATTAAACTCTCGCAAGATAAGAAATGATTGTGTTTTTTATTATAATAGATGGATGGTAGCCTTGCTTGAACTGCCATCTATTAAGTAAAACTGAACGTATTTCCATTTCCATAACGTTTTCAACGGGCAAGATTATAAAATATATTAATTTAATTTTGAAATCTATACCTATTTTTAAATTGAGCGATTCGTTGATCCCTGAAGGGTCGGTAATTGTTTTAACTTGGTCCACTAGTTCCAGCGCGAGGGATGCTACATTTGGTGCATGACGTGGGTTGTGATCTGGAACACCACCAGCTACCATATAACATGCATCCCCGAGTGTTTCCACCTGAATCACATAGGGTAAGTCCACTTAATTAACAACTGTTTCTTTCAGGAAATTTTTGCAAATAATGCACATGAGATTCAACAACATTTACTGGAAATATTAAGCACATTCGTACTCTAAACTGCATTCATTTTAATTTCATATTCACACTTAAATAAGGTAACAGATAATTTCTTGGGGCCAATCTAATTTTTCAGATAGTAAGTGAATTACACTTCTTATTTTTTTTAAACACATTTTTAGATTAGCGAATAGAGAACCTGTTGCCCTCTTTTCCTCTAGATTCGTCAGATATTTATGCCCACTTACATTCTAAGCACATATGCAATTTTGTTTCAAGAACATTTTAATCTGAGTACAATAACTTATTACCTATTACGCAACACAAAATCAACCGCTATTTTGAAAAAAGTAATTTGAAAAATGTTTGCTAATTTCGATCATGCACTTGACAATATTCTCAGAGAAATTAATGTGTACATTCCCTCTTTATGTTACAGATATAGATATGGCAGTGTGACATATCAAATGTAAATATCTTGATAACGTCAATTTATCACTCTCATTTACAAGGTTATAAAAACAATTATATTGTACTCTAAGGATGGGATGTCTAGTAGGAGGTGTGGCTTTTTTCAGTAATATAGGTGAATAACATCCGGTCTGGAATGCACGATTGTGACATTGAAACATCAGAGTTGATCATGATGCACATACAGATATATGATATTAAATTAACATAAGTACTAATTCCAAAGAATGATAAGATCAAGGCAAATTACATACATCTAGCACAGCAAGAAACATCTAAGAATACTACCAGTTATAAGGAAAGCAAACACCAGTATCCCAAACTATGATTTAATATACAAATGTACAATTTTAAGAACTCTATTCTTAACATTCAAGAATCATTATGCACACGACTCTGAGACATTTATTTCAAACTAACCTTTAAAATATTACCTCATATTTTTAATTATTTTCAAATATGGACAATGACATTTAAAATGTATACATGTATATGTCATGCTTGGTCTATTTGAATCTTACCTTGAAAACATCAAACTTTTCAACAATGTTGTCAAATAGTGTAATGATAGAGTTAATGCATTGGATGATGTCGAGCGCTGATACCTTCTCACATATATCATTGAAGCCTATTAGGAAACTGAACATAATGGTTACCTCATCAAAGACCTGAAAATATATCAATCTGTTCTAAATTATTGGGATCAATTGCTTAATTACAAGTCACAACTATGAATATTTAGTCCATAGCTGTGTATCAAAATATTGGGATCAATTGCTTAATTACAAATCACAACTATGAATATTTAATCCATAGCTGTGTATCAAATTATTGGGATCAATTGCTTAATTACAAGTCACAACTATGAATATTTAGTCCATAGCTGTGTATCAAATTATTGGGATCAATTGCTTAATTACAAGTCACAACTATGAATATTTAGTCTATAGCTGTGTATCAAATTATTGGGATCAATTGCTTAATTACAAGTCACAACTATGAATATTTAGTCCATAGCTGTGTATCAAATTATTGGGATCAATTGCTTAATTATAAGTCACAACTATGAATATTTAGTCCATAGCTGTGTATCAAATTATTGGGATCAATTGCTTAATTACAAGTCACAACTATGAATATTTAGTCCATAGCTGTGTATCAACTTATTGGGATCAATTGCTTAATTACAAGTCACACTATGAATCAATAAACAAGAAATGGTGCTGTATATGTGTATTCGTCAATAGACTGTTATTGTATGCTTATTTGTTTTATATGTTGATAAAAGTTCTTTCATTACGCACTGTTGAATACGATTTTTATCATTATTACTTTTTTATTCATTTGACATTTGAAAGCATTTGCATTTACATTATGCAATGTTGCTTCGTCGAATTGATAACAATCATTTTAGAATTTCTTTGCATCATTTTTGACATCTAAACACACACTAATAAAGTCAAGTTCCAATAATGTCCACCCTTTCTTTTCTGCCTATCTGTCTATCAATATTACAATGGACTCGTAGATTTGCTTTAAATCCTTTATTAATAATTCTGTACTGATATAAAAGAAAGATTTGAAAGAGAAGAGATATTGAAATAGAAGTTAGAACCCCACTGAGAAAAAACCTCATGAGATGATCACGGAAAGGTGTGACTACTATTACTTTACTACTATTACTTGCTTTACAGAAAGTTGAAGCTTTTATCACAGGTTTAATAGTATGACATGGAAATTGCAATTGATTAAGTGTAAAATTGATCAACAGATTTCTCAGATTGCCCCTTTTGTACATGTATGACTTCAAGCTATTTTTGGTAGACAATTGATCTTAATGCAAACACCTAAATGGTCTCTATTATAAAACTCTTTTTTCAAAATGGCATAATTATCTAAAACATCATAGCTCTTCAAAAAGGAGGAAATATGAATATTTTTTCTCCCCGAGTTCATAAAAGCCAGGAAGCTTTTAGCAGTAACATCTGGAACCTAGCATGCAATCAGATTGCTCAACCCCTTAGAATAAAATTATGAAACGATTATTAGCTATAAATAAATAAAATTGTTCCCCATAATTTCCATGAAGTTAACTTCAGGAGGACTTAATAGATCACAATGATCAGTTATAGACACAGATGAACTGACATCAAAAAGGGACATATACATATACCTATTAACTATGGAATCAAAGATGGTTACTGTGTTCAACGTCAGTTTAATAACCCAATTTGGAGTCTAACATGACCCCATGTTATGGACCGTTTTCAAAGACAATTTAAGTTTTTTTATAACTAACCTGACTCGTATGAGTCCAGTTTATACCAATGGAGCAAACTTCTACTTGCCCCATCGAGCCCCATCTTGCCCAATCGAATCCAAACTTGCCCCATCGAGTCCCATGGGACCTTGGTGACGTTGTCCCATCAAGTCTCATCGTGCCCCATGGAGTCCCATCAAATCCCACCATACCCCATTGGTGTGTGTTGGGCTTCACACAACACTTCATGTTATTGAAAATCCCACGATACCCCATGGAAAGAATGAACATTTGCCCTATCGAATCATCTCGCATCCAACGTGCGACCTCATGGGACCTAATAGAACTCCAAGGGAGAAGGTGGGGCTAAATCCACGAGGTCCCACGCATAAGTCTATGGCCCATATGACCCAACTTGCCCCATTGGTGTGTGTTGAGCTAAGCCATAGACAGTTTTCAAAGAAAATCAGAAGTTGTTTCATAATCTAATTCGTACTCATGTGAATCTATGCAACGGGCAGTTTCAAAGACAATTAAAGTTGTTTCGATAACTAACGTTGACTCACATGGACAGTAATGGACAGATTTCAAAATCAATCAGAAGTTGTTTCCTAACCTAACCTAAACTGAACCATATGATTGAAGTGACGGGTGGACCGAAGTTTGCTCGCCATTGCCTAATAAACAATAATTTGTACATTCTTTGTTACATTATCTTACATAAGTATCGTTGTCTAAACTGAATGTAGTTGTCTTGCATTTTAGCAATCGTTAAGGTACAAACTATGGAGAGGTCCAGGTTATTACTATTTCAATGCGGGTCTGATAGGTAAAATGCAATTATTTGAGGAGGGATTCTTTCAATATCACTAATATTCCCATTTTGTTCTCACCCAGAAGTAATGTTATTGTGGTATGATAAAGAATTGTTTGCCTACAACACCTACAGGTGAACATGGTTAAAATCATGAAATCAAAAATTACTTTAGTGCCTGAAAATCACTGAAAATACCATGTGGCACCTGCATAGAAGACACTGTGTCAACATTTGGTCAAATTATGAAGAATGTTTTTCATTAAGTAGTTAATTTCCTCATAATTTCCCCTCTCAGTAATTGAAAAGTTTTATACAATTAGCGGTGTGCGTGAATTAATGGGATCCTGGGGAATACAGGAATTCGAAGGTGCAATAACCTCAGGGGTAAGTGAACAGAGTAATACATAGTTTAGTATAATTCGTATATTCTATCAGTACCTCACATGTATTGATGGGGTCTTCTCCATTCTTAAGACGTATAGCAATGCTCTTGGGTATCATTGAATAGAGCAGGGTATCACCACGTTTCCGCCATTCATCCAGTTTGAGCAAATTATCTTGGATCTGGGTACTCTTATCTACTTGCTGGAAATATGCAAATATATACGAGTATATAATGGTTGTCCAAAAAATGAACCCGTGCAACAACGTCAAATGAACGTGCAACAAGTTATATCTCAGTATTAATTAGATTAGCCTCACGTTTTTTAGAGGAAAGTATCATAAAGGTACCAACAGACATGCCTGATTAATGGAGGTAGTGCTCATTCCATGCTGAACGGTTATGGATAACTGTAGCCAACCAAAAGTTGAAGTTGTTCACTGCTCTATCCAGCATCAAGATGTCGTTCTCTTTATTTCAACGAAAAGTAAAGTTGTATCTAAATATTTTGAGCTGTAACAACTTCAATTTCATCATTGAGCACACCATCCATTAACCAGGCGTTTAGGTGAAGGTGAAGGTGAAAGACAGGAACAAATATTGCAACCATCATTGGAGAATCTATATATGTTAATGTATTTTAATTTGCACAAAGGGAACTTTTCAAAATAGGAAAAGCAATCAACTGTATTGATGAGAGATTGACACTCCTGTTTGTTTGATTACATCCCAAGGGGACTTCAACTAAACCATGGATCAACAAACTTCTGTATCAAGGCCCAAATGCATGATCAAAAGCATGATCCAATTTGAAGCCAGTAATGGACTAATCATTCCACGCAATGGGATACCGGGATTGGAATACAAAATAAGTAAAGAGAATAATGTCTTCCTGACATCGGTGATTTAGTATTCCTATAAAATACTTGTCTATAGTAGAATCACTGCTGAAATCAGGTAATCTCCATCTGGTGAAGTAATTCAGATTTCTACAAATTTGAATAATGAACAGGCTCTTCCAATTCATTTTCATAGGTGGTTGTTAAGAGTGGAGGAGGGGGAGGGGTGAAGATCAGATATGTACCACTCAGAAATTCATAGAACTATTTTTGATAAGGAGGCATCGAACTTGATGAAGGGGAGGGTAAACCCTTTTAATAGAGACACATCAAAGAACAAATGACTCTCTGACTATAGGTAAATTCATGATTAGGATGTTGTTTGATGTATTTAGCATACTCTATGGAGAGCTATTGAAGAGAGTCCCACGCTGTGTTATACTTCACCCCAAAAAGAATTGGCATATACTTTTTGATTCTAAGTTAAAACAGAAAAATTATTATTTGAACAAATGGGCCGTTTGAGAAGATAAAAAGTCGAAAACAGACAAACATTTTTCTAACGAATGTCCATTTCCCCTAATTTGTCAAGTACGAGGTCAGTACCCTTTAAGATTAAAGCTTAATTAAGATAAAGCAGGACAAATCGTTAAATTATAGTATGGACACTTACTTTCTCAATAGAGTACTCAAGTCTTGAAGCATGTTGCCAGCCTGCTAAGACCATTTCCCTGCTACCATCATGCATATTCAGATCATTAATGTACAAACCTTTGGTCTCCATTTCCTCCAAGTCTCCCAATCTGGAAAATTAGACATTTTAATTACAATTGTCATAATTTACACATATTTAGTAATATATTTTGTTGGAGAGCTTTGTGCATTATACATGCTACCGCTAGATACTAGATGTTTTTGTAATTTCTTGTGGTCTTCAAAATGATCAACTGAACATGTACTATTGAAACCCTTTTCAGTCTAACATCTGAGTGGCCACTATTTCAATGTTTATCCTATTATGACTAAATAATTAGTATCTAACTGATTTGATGGCATGGCGGACTTGACCAGAACATTTCTGCGCTGAAAATGTCATTTTCATGCTTTTTCATATGCTACACCTGTTCAGTTTGATTAAATCTTTGTCATTGATTTTAAGATATTTATAAGGTTTTAGTGATTCTATAATGACATTATATCGTGAGCTATTTTTACAACGCATAACATAGTAATATTTTGAAGGTCAAATGAAAATAAAAATGGAGGCGACTACAAAATTAATGACAAAATATTCAAATTCAAGACCCATTGAGTTCACACAACTATTGGTTGTACAAATTAAAATTTCTTAAGGGATTTCTGACAGAAAATACAATATCCTATGCTTTTCTGATTGGCTATCATTTTTATCCACTCATGCTTATTGGCCATCCATCTCCTCTCATGAATGAAAATTCATTTGTTTCATTTTGTGTTCTAGCCACATTGGATGTCGAATATGCAACAAACATGAAATATCCTTTATCTTATGTAAGTTGTTTGTAACAGAAGACGAGGCGACTGACCGATAAAAGATGTTAACCTATATACAACCTTATGTACATGTTTACTAGCATAACGGTAAAACATAATTAGCTATGGTCACGAACTCATTCATTTTATCAACAATCCTTTTATGTTGTCACATAGCCCTTAATATTCAATTAACCCGTCCCTACTATAGATTAGTTTAGTAACTGTTCTTTAATTAAAATATATTCATCCAAAACATCGAATGAAAATCAGAGATAGTTGTTGAAATTCAGAACCTTTTTGGATTGTACATGTATATTTTTTTTCATGCCTAGTTCGTACTTTATTGACCTATTTGTTAACCCTCGCTTTTATTAAATTGTACCTTTTAACCTTATCCGTCTCATATTGTAAAATTGAGCAGTTTAGAAAGACGGATGTCTTTTGGAACGCGAGTAGCAACTGTATTCTGATGACTCCAATTAGTGCATGAAGGAAACAAATGGACCTGTCAAATTAGTAGTCTGAGAGCAGAGCACTCGAAATTCCTGGGAGAGATAATATTATAAACTTTCAAAATTACATCATCTAAATAGAATCTGAATAGTTAAATGGTCATAAGGGACATTTAGGTAATTGTCATATAAAGCTATTTCTTTCGGTGAAATGCTATCTAATATAATTATAATCATAAAGAATATGTTATGCATTTAAATACAGACTGAACCTAAAAGGGTTTTCAATATATTCCAACAGATTTAATGCTAATAACCGTTTGCTTTATGTTGATAAGACTTAGTTGCTCCAAACCTGTAAAATATGAAACTCTTTTGGCCCACCCTGTATAAATTTCAATTATGTAAGCTAAAACTATTTTGATACTTCTTATGATTTATAACTTTTTATAGTTACAGTATAAATATTGGTTAAAGGTGAAAGAGAACTTTAAAATGATTACTACATGCTGACATGATAGTGATTACTTAAGTATACACATACTGTATATAATGCTATACATAATCATTAAAATACTACATAATTTACCTTACCAAGGAACATTTTCGAATAAAAAGTAATATTTTAGCATCTTACAATGGAGTACAAAGGAAAGCCACTGAGTTCCAGTCCGCCATATATTTCATCTGACCTCTCAGTAGAAGAGTGTTCGATGACAACGATTCCCTCCTTTTGGTCGACTGGCTGTCAGGTGACACATTTTTCCCGAGGTTTGAAGTTTTCAGTGGTATTAAAGATTCAAGTTCAAATATTACCCTTTGTAACCGTAGTACCTGAAACAGATGTATAAAAATAAATCCATTGGTATCATTTATTTTATTCAACGTATACGAGACTTAAAATAGATTGACCATATTATATGAAGAGAATCTCTATTCTAATTTAAATGATATACCTTCTAATCAAGTCAGTGCTAACATGATATAATGTATCATTCCAACTATATTACTATAGTACCCCACACACTAATTAGTCACAAACTTTAAAATTTGTTTTGAACACTTTCCCCTTATTGAATCATGATGAAATTTCACATGGACAAACTATAAACACTTTCCAACACTCAGATTTTTTTGATTTGCTTGAATTTTAATTTTCAAATTTTTACAGTCATTTAAGTTGAAGAACCAATTTCGCATTTTTTCACATGTTATGCTATATTTATGTATATTTGGCTTAATTCTTTGAGATGTACAAATGTACAAAACTTTTTGTTGGATGCTATTGTTGAAGAGCACACAAGGATTAAGAAGATGGCCCTTTGGAGGTAGCATCACTACGTTTACACCATTTTATTCTAATTTTACCCTGACTTCAGGATTGTAGTGCTGTTTGCATGGATTCAGGGCCCTCCCTGAGCGTCCTAATCTATCCCAAACTAGGGTTGACCCCCTAGGTAAAAGCCGGTGAAGTCCTGGACCACCAAGATATCGATTCCTGGCTTCAGATGCAATTGCAAACTTCTTGACCACGGAGTCATCTGCATTCCTCTTTGTGAGAGATACCTTCACAAACTGCGACTGTGATATTACAGCCGAGCATGTATAACGAGCAGGACGGTATGCTGAGCGGGCGTATAACTTGGTACCTTTGGGTGTGCGTCCTAAGGAAGGCAATGAGTTTTCAAATATGGGGAATTCGTCTTGATAAAACACATCATCGAGTGTTAGTCCCAGATCAAGAGCATTATTGAATCCTTCGATGAATCCGTAATGCATGTCATAAATTTTATCAAGATTCACATCATCACTAGACTTGTCTGGTGCTACCATTTTAAAAGCACCACCATTCCTCCTATACAAGCATCGTTTTAGGGTTTCATCACTGACTGAGATTCCAGTCTCTGTAAAAAACTTTTCATTTACTTCCGATATTCTTGAAAACGGCTCATTGTCTCTGATGTCGAACAGAATATCCTCTAGATCAGAGTCAGGGGGTATTATAAACTTGCGGCCACGACTTTTGGGTTCTACCTGACTCGCAACACGTCGTACAGTCCTTGTTGTACCCCATGATTTGCAGCAACTTCGGAGATCTTTTTCTTGGGAAATTTGTTAAAGTATGTCACTTCTCCTCCGTGGTGTGTATGCTCTTGATGAAACGGTAGGGCTCTTGTACATAGATGTAGCTTCTCTGTTAGATTTAAAATATATACTAGATGGATTAAGTTGTCCTGGGAGAAAACCTTTAACCCCCTTCATTTTGATATCTCAACTTGAACTACAATTCTGTAATCTGCATGGTAAACAAATTCAAAATGAGCAGCAAAAGGTCAATTTTGCTACAAAATAGCAACAAAATGTGAAACAATGCGAAACAATGTAACAACTTCAATTCTCTGCAAAATGAACGCCTGGCATAGTTAGACAAATCAAAAAAATTTGAGTGTTGGAAATTGTTTCTAATTTAGCTGTGAAAAATTTCATGGTGATTGAATAAAGGGAAAATGTTTAAAACAAGTTTAAAAGTTTGTGACTAATTAGTGTGTGGGGTACTATACTGTGGTCAGTTTAAGCAAATGAGAGACATTCTGTACACTTTTCATATTCATATATATTGTCTCGAAAATAACTTACTAACCTGTTCCCAAGTGAAGTCCATTCGTGGTCTTCTTAAGCCAAAGCGTGTGGAAATATTGTACCCTATCAGCTCACTATAGCTGAATAACCTAACTAAGTTTGGCCCTATATGTGTGATAACCAGAGATGAGTTGAAGACTATACAAAATGGAAATACCTGAAATATGTCAAAGCACAATGTAAACGATCAATGAGGTCCTCAATGGGATATAAAATTCAGATTCAATGACGCCAAAACAAAGTGTATGGCTATGGACTATAAGGACCTGAATATTTTAATAAAAATAAGGAACTGTAAGGACCTAAACTGAATCAGGGGGACCTAAAAGGATTGCAAAATAAAGACCTAGGATGACCTAAATAGATGGCACCAAAAGAACGTAAACAAAATGGGAATCCCGAAACATTTTATATCACGATGAAGAGGAAGTAACCAGGAAGGCAAATAGACTAAATAAACTAGAGGGGCCTAAAAAGACAAATATCGAATTGAAGAATTGAAATTATACAAAATGAAAATATCTGGAAAATGTTAAAATATTTTATATTGGATCACGCAGCAGATAATGTGGCTCCAAATAGATGACAAAATATAGAGCTAAGGAGACTTAAAAAATGATATATCGAAGATACTCGAACCACATTTACATTAGATCGTATGATAAATGGGGCTATAAATAGATGACATTATACAGAACTAGGGGACCTAAATAGATAACTAATATCAATGCTATGTTTTTATTTTGTAATGTTCCTCTAGCTAGGCGTTTTGTCATTATGTAACAGGATATCAAAGTAAATGTGTGATAATAACAACAAAGAATAAAATAGCTAGTATATTCATTATATTAGCATTTGTCAGTTCAACTACCGGCTTACGGTTTAACCTGGTATTTTATGGCAAACTCATTTAAATATGAATGAAATAGTGGCATGTAGTATTCATAGTTTTATGAGTCGGCCATAAAATAGAAGCTTAAACCGTCAATCGTCAATTAAATTCGCAGATGCTACCTTATTGAGGTTAATTTGACCGATTGTGCTTGATTTATATCCGACTCATCGGGTGACTATAATGACATCTTGGTGCAAATGTCAAGGGGACCGAAATCAATTTCTAGTGCTGTTTATTTTCCCTAAACTAGATTCAGCATACTTTGATAAACTTCATTTTTCAAATTAATTAATGAGTTCATATCTTACAAAATAAAATTGACTTTCTGGAGGTGATATTCTAATCCGAGAGACAGTATTTGAGAAGATTTCTGTTAGGGTTTCTGTCGAAAGAAGCTATAGTATAGTAGTAAGATTGTTCTCACATCTTATGTGTCTTGCATATATTATCACAACAGATTTAAGTTATGGCATTATGTTTTTTCATCAAAAGTATCATATGTTTATTATTTCATTCCCTGAGTAAATGGAGTTATCTGCCAGGAAATTTAACACATAAGTGAATTACAAAACCCTTTGAATCGGGAAGGTGTTGTCCAGTAGTCCTGAACACTTTAAGGCATTGACTTATACATCTTAAAATTAATTTATCTGTAGGAAAATGACCAGGAGTGTATAATAATATAAATTAAGACAGAGGAACTCTTGACAATTTGTGCCAACTACCATGCAATCTTTAAGTTGGAAACATAACTGGTTACAATAGACTGGTTAGAATTGTTTTTGTAAAATTATTTTTAATAATTGTTGCTAAAATTTGTACTGCTTGAGACTCTAATACCCTAAATTGGGTGAAGAGGAATAAATAAATAAATATTTAAATAAATATTCATGTCATTTTGATTTGATTCCCGTCACAGTCACATTTTCAAGATTTGTAGATCGATGATTTAATAATTGTACTTCTACTGAAAATCCAAGCTGTACATTTCATTTGGTTGATAATGGCTCAGTCACATTTTCTCTACGGCTGACGTACGGCGGTCATAGATTCCCAAAATCGAGGGACATGCAGCATAAAATATTGGGATAAGCAATACGATATAGATTTTCTATATCGATTTTGTGAAGCTACGGCCGCCGTACGTCCACCGTAGAGCAAATCGAAGAAAAAACAGAACTATTATATAAGCAGCTGAACTTTGAGCCATTGTGGATCCCAACAATTTTCTTATTCAATCTAAGATGACAAAAACTGCAAGACTGAAGGACTGAAAAATTGTAAAACTGACAGATGATGCTTGATATCTTTGTACTTAATGTATATCCTGCAAGTGGCACTATCTCCCTTCCTGAACTATCTTTAACGCTTCGGATGTTTTCCATTATCACAAATTGCTATTTACGGATTTTACAACTTCACGATTAAACTTTTGTTTAATCCTGAACTTGGTAAACCTATGATTGAATAAAGTAATCAAGGTTAAATGTGGGAATAAAGGGTGTCCTTATATCAACGCAGTAAAAAGATAAACAAAAAAGTACCTAAAGGAGAAAGACCAAAAAGGGCTGAAATAAAGAAACATAAAATCATCACCAGTCATGAGACGGCTAATTCCAAAAATGCATCTATATATGATTGATGGTATGGTGCACTAATATTTCCATATTAGAATAGACAAGGGGTACCGATACCCATTTCCTATATGTGACAGTCAATTTTCATTAAGGTGACTCGCTCAACGGTATATTCCAATTTATTGGGTTGTTTGTGTATTGTTGATATATTGTGATTCATTTGAGTCTTGATACTGTTTCAAACCCTTAACAGAACTCATGGTAAAATATATCGCACCCTTGAACAGTTTTCGGGATGACAAGTCCAAAATGTACACCTTTAAATCTACCCAGAATGACCACAAACCAGTTCTCGATTTTTATACACAAAAACATTCCTGAATATTTGAAATTGATGATACATATACCACAAAACATTAAATTAAAAATATTTTATTGATGTATTCCTGAGCCCCAGGTTCCCGGTATCCGTCTTACTTTCAAACGAAACCGATATCAAATAAGTATATTCATCTTTCATAGTACTCCCGTTAATTTCCCATTGGGTGGTGTAATACTGACATATGCTGATCAATGAAATGGAAAGCCTCCTTATAAATGACCCCACTGTGTCCTGTTAGGATGTAACCATTTACAAATTGAATATTTATAAAGCATGATTGCAGGATTTACGCATTCGTTTTGACATTGAGTGAAAAATGACTTAAGGTTATTCCAAGTTCTATAAATAAATATATCGAATCATGTGATTATAAATGAGATAATGGCCAAATAAGGTAAAGGTGTTTTATATCCACTATGAACAATAAATAGTACCATAACATCGGGACTGGGCTCAAATGGTGAACTTGCATTCCAAAGACCAATTGAAAACATACAATTTCAAGCAAATTAATTATAAACTTTTGGATCTACGACATTAAAATATATATTTCAACATCGAAAGTAAGAGCCGAAAGTAGGAGTCATTTGTTGTTGTGACCAAAGAGGCTTTAACGTGATTTTTCCAAGCAAAAAAGTATATAAGTCTAGGATGTTCGTTGACCCTTTTGAGTAGCAAATACAGGAACCAAATGTCGTTCACATTATAGGCAGAAATAAAAAAAGTTAATTTTCATTAGAAATTCGTGCATAATTTCCCTTTGGTACCGAGTGAAATAGGATTAAAGTCAAGCCTCGGTCAAATTTCCTCTATGGCGGTCGTACGGCGGCCGTAGCTTCACATAATAGATATAGAAAATATACATTGTGCTACTTATCCCTACGTTTCATGCTGCATATTTCTCTCGATTTTGAGAATCTACAATCGCCATACGGTTGCCGATGATCAAATGCGACTGAGGCATTAGATAAACAAAGGAGGATGGAAAGTATCGCAACAGGTTTAGAACGCAACATATTGATGCAACAGAAACTAAAAAAGCAGGGGTGGAAGGGGTTGAAAGCGGGACAACATTTCAGAAAAAAACATGTGGGTTGGTTGTTTGCATCTTCCCTGTCTCAAAGTCGAAATTATTTTATCACTTCTATGAGTGCTTTTCCTGGAGATAATGCATTGGCCTAACATATACACCTGCTTAAATCCTCAGAAAATAGCCAAAATCCAACATATGACTTCGAAATCTGTTGGGATACTTTCCCTCCTCCTTTGCGTCAATTGTATTGGAATGACATATTTTTACTAAGCAGATGACTTATAGTTGACTGTAAATATTATACAATATATGAATGATATGTTTATTGTTTTTAAGTCAAGATAACCGATAAAAAATGTGGAAGATTGATGAATGCGTCTAGGCACTCTATTGTTATCGATATTCACATCTAGCAAGTATCTATTTTTGACATAAAACATAAAACCCATTTGCTCCGTATTTGATAACTCATTTGAACCCTATTATCAAAAAACGTATTCAAAGGGATATTCAAGTTGAAAGAGTTAACTATATATTATAGATAGCAGAAAATATGCGAGCATGCATGTCATAAAGGGGATGTTGCAAAATACAGCAAAGAAAATGAAACGTATAAGAGCAAATCCAGACATAAGGAAAACAAAGTTCACAATATCTCCAGACCCAGAGAGCACAAAGAAACAAAGAAATACATGCCAAACAATTGATTGCTATAAAACATAGCAAATAAAGAAAACGAAACATTAAAGAGCAAAACTGAACAAAAGGAAAACGAGTTCCCTACAGAGACCTACAAGTCACAAAGAAACACTGAATTGAAATGAAAATATGCGAGCAAATTATTACATGAAAAACTGAAGTTGTAGAACTTACCCTGAAAAACACTTCACTTGATAAAGTAGTGTATGGTGAGCTTATTGAGCACTTCTTCTCTTCTGATCTTTTCCTAAATGCTGAATTATCAAAATTGAGCCGGTATATAACATGACATCCCTGATCAGTCTGTTGATTTTGTAGGATTTCTATGATAACATCAAGTCCATAATATTTTTTAGCACTTTGTATAATTTGTCCCTTCACGTAGCCCGTGAAACCAATACGACGAGATCTGTAGTGAAGGATGCAACCGTAACAATCTTCCTTTTCAACATAGAACGAAGGACTTTGTAGCCTGGGGTAACTAAAGCGCATAGTCTCATGTAAATTATCAATCCCGTGTAAAAAATCTCTAAAATGTCTCCCAGAGACTCTGAGTATTTTATCGTAGCCATACTGGGAGCAAAATTCAACAAAGCATTTACCAAAGTACTCTATGAATCCTTCCTTATCGCGATCCTTTATTACTTTACTACACGATTCAGCAAGGTTTGTGATAATTGAGTCAGGGTAACGTTTATGTGTTGTGAAGACCATTCCTGCAAGACTAGCGTCATTTAGCACTTCCAACCACAAAGACTCGCCATATCTCATTTGGATATGGTGTTGCACACTTTCCAGCAATAAGCCATACATTGTCCCATGTACCCGCTCACCAAACAGATGGGTGCACTGAAAGCAGAAGAAGAGTTGCATGTACATAAGTCGGGATTTGATTTTAATGGTTAAAAGTACTAGCAAAGAATTGAATATCCAAAATTTCAAAAGCAAGAATTTTATGTACTTTTCATCAAAATATATCATTTCATGCTTAGCATTTGCTATTCAGTATCATTGAAATATGAAATGCTGAAATATGTAATGTGAAATTTGTTTTTAACACTTCACTATAGCAAAAATAGGTGACTGCATTTTTATATTTTCCGATGCCAAACATATATTTCACATGTCACTTCATACCACTCTTTTTGTCACATTTTTTGCTTGCTACCTGATTTATCGGCTATATAGAAGCAACCTGTACTATAATTGTTACATAAAATCTCCAAATAGAATTCAAAGTACCAAATAAACAAGTTATGGGGAACACATACTTGGAGGAACGCATTACTCTTAGACCAATAATATATTTCTTCAACTTAACAAGTCAGAGACCAAGCTAAATGCTTTTTAACGAACCATGCATCTGAAAACTAATACAGAAATATATATTGCAAACTCTACAGGAGAACATAATATGTTTGCATGTACCATGACAATATGTTTTGTGTAAGACAGCTCATTTGGTTTGGCCAATCGAATTAAAGTGTTTCTTGCAACATCCTTAGCCTCAGAATACTCTTTTCTGAAGAACTTACCGTACAAGGATTTTTTATTACTTTTTTATTCATAGAAAACATTTGAAAGCAGTTACATTAACATATACAATATTCATAATATCATAGAAATCACACAATTTTCCATCATATTCTTTTTTAAGGCATCTAACCACACACCGTACAAGGATTTCAAAGGATTTAATTATGATTCGATTAAAAAACAGAAAAACAGAAAAGATCAGTATTTTCATAAGTGAAATATGTTAGATTTTTATATCGTTTAAAATATTTTGTTTGTTCAGTGGGTTATTATCTCATTAACACCTGAAAACAAAATTAAAGTAATACATTCATAAATAACAAGCTAGGTATACTCTACCTTTATCAAAGGTGAAAGCAAATTTGCAGGTATGGTCTGCATCGTATCTCTCCTTTGTAGTCGTGTCATGGCATTTTGCTTTTTCTTGGTGATAGAAATATCTTGACTTTTATCTAGCATAGCAATATACTTATATTTCAATTGCATTTTGTTCATAATCATATTACCCCTTTGATATCCAACACGTGACACATGGGAATCTAAGTAGTATTCTCAACTGGGGATAAATTTATCTTGAAGAACATTGCGATAATAATTTGCAAAATATAATTCCTTTTAAGTCCAATTAATATTCCTTTGCATTTTTTAATCTCCAAGGAACATATTAAAGTTGTTCATCCTCGATCAATCTTAGCAGTCATAATATACGCTGCACACATTGTACCTCCAACACTGCCTTCAGAAATTATTATCTGCGCAGCATATCAAGAAATCAGTACTCTTTGATGAGCTACAACCAAGTAATGTTATTTCAATACAAGTAGAGGATGCGTCATAATTATGATCTATCGCATGAGATCAACTCCCTGCTTATTCCATCAATTTAAGTAGTAGATATAAATGCCTGTATGAATATAAACAAAATGTATTTAATTCCTTAGTAAGTATTTATACTTTATTTATAAAACTTTATCTAATATTAAATAAGACAATACGATTTACATGATGCAAAATGTATTTAATTCCTTAGTAAGTATTTATACTTTATTTATAAAACTTTATCTAATATTAAATAAGACAATACGATTTACATGATGCCAATGGATACCGAAGACTATTTTTAAAGTCCTTCTAAAAGTCTATGAGCTAAGACGCTCTCTCCTGAAATGATTATGCTGCTTATATTACTTATATTTAAATGTATGACCTCGTTGATATATTACGAACAACATATGGGAATGTTAAAGTAATAAATATGCTTAATAGACAGGTTCCAATTCTAATAATTCAAGTTTTTGTGGCATTTTTTAGAAAAAGCAACAGACCTATTTTTACTCGATCAGTTTTTCATGCTGATAAAGATATTAAAAGATGACAGCTCAACGGGGTGGTCACGACACTGAATTTTGGCATGTTTACCCCCCTAGGAAAATATTCTAGGGGGTACTATGAAACTAGTTCATAACTCAAAGGATATATGAGCTATTGTTCTGAGTTGTACACCATACATTGCTAGTACAAATATGAATACTATCCTAAAGTTATAGGTTGATACCCTTATTGGTCTCAGAAAAAATATAATAAACAGGAAAAAGATACGCAATTTTTGTCTTGCCAATTTTATATTTGTAGCTTCGAGCAAAATATGACAGCTTTAACAGCTCATAGAAGTATTCTAAAAATATTTCCAGGCTATATGGGGTATTGTAATACATCTATTTTAGTTATGAAGTACTATTTTGTAATTTTAATATGACTTTATAGTGCCCTACCCCTGGAAAATTGAAGAAAGTGGATGTGGTGAATTTAATCATTTTGCAGCATTAAGTTAGAAACATGTATTGATAGACACCAAATCAATAAATTCATACCATCATCAAATGTTAGGTGACATTCTAATTCATTTATTACTAGAATATAGGACTTAAGATATTTTATATGTACGTTTTCAATTTAGTACATGTATCATAATGAAATCTAGTGTAATCACATACTAGAGAGGACATTGACATAAAATCTAAACATTATAATCATCAATTGATCGCATTTGAGCAACTAGACTATGGTGGTCATCATGCACAAGACATGTACTACAGTGCCCCATGTACTAGGGCACGAGTCATTTGAGCCATACCTTTACAACCCATTCAGAAGGGTCATTTACAATGTGCAAAACATGACAAAAGTTCCGTAAAACTGTTAGTTCTCATTATCTGACCATATATAGCAGAGTCCTCATTAAGCCATGATGCATCACAGCCAGATGTTAGAAAAGGAGCTAAGAATCTTTATTAACCAAAGATGACTTTCCCACCGATGTTGCATCACACTGTACTGTCAACTGTCTTGTTGCTTTCAATTTTGTTTACTCTACATAGATCTGATTCTGCATTCAAATACCAAGACTTCAGTTTACTTCAACTGTCATGACTAAAGCATTTGATAGTATTTACATAATAATGTTATAAAGGAGCATGTAGGTTATCGCAAACAACTTCAGACAATGGTCCTTTTTCCATATAGCTTTGAAATCTCGTTAAGGTCTTGTTTTTAATGAGATTTTAGGAGATCTGCATTTTTAACCATTAAAAACTAATGTTTTCTTCCATCTGATGGCATATTTGAATTCTGTGAGTAATTCTCTATCAAAACAACTTTGATTTGCACTGTAATTTACCATTATTCAAATTCTAATGATTTACTGGTTGTCTAAAAAAGGTCGGGCTAAATCCATTGACACAATGCTGAAAAACCTTAAAAAGTTCATTTACTCTTCCAAGGATCACAATTTTAATGTGAAATCACAATCCACATGTCAATAAGATCATAAAGTTACATTCCATTTCCAATGATGTTTTAAGTTGATCCAAATGGAATTACTTCTTAAATCAAGAAATTAAGTGACTCTGGCAATGCATTTACATGTATTCTTGCCCTACCCAAGCTCTACCAATACCCATGATGCCATCTATTTTTCATTTATATGGAAAAAGGTCAATTCTAACTTGAATTATGAATATTTTCTGACCATGAACATAGGTATATCTTTTAGATCTATTCATTATCTTCAAGAAAAGTAAATATAATGATTAATCAGACCTAAGTGATATTAAAGGGAATGGCCCAATCAACATACTTTTTACTAAAAATGATGACCTAGTTTTTACCAAAGATGCAACCTTTAACTATATTGTTGAATGCATAATCAGAATATGCTTTGAGACATGTTCTATTTCCTAAGAGGAAAAGTGGATTGCTCCAGGGACTTTAAAGACACTGAATTTGGATGACCAAAATGAACTGAAACCAATGGATAGTATGAATTTTTTCAAAGGGGAAATAACTTGGGGAACACTAATCTTAGGGGAATTCAGTTTTCGTTTCAAGAGCTATTTGATATATTAAAATAAAGAATAGTAATGCATTATACATTGTTATTAAAATGATTGCATTTTTGGTGAAAATGAGGTCAACAACTTTGAAAAATATATTGATGGGTTGATTGCTAGTGAAATATCTCCAAGTCCGATTGACTTTATTATCCCTGTATACCTGTCTTCATGGTCAGGAAATAGTCATAATCAAAGAATAACTGTCTGAAATTGTTTGTGATAACTTACCTGAATATTTGCAGGTCAAATCAGGAGTGACACAATTTATTTCCACCAAATTTTTGACATGTCTTCAAATATACAATAGTATTTTCTTCATAAGATAGAGTGTCACTTGTGAAATTTATTGATTGACCTGAGATCGTATCATATCTTTATGACATAGAAGCGAAATAGCCTTAGCAACTTCTGTTTTTAGAGAACAATAAAATAATAGAAAAGATTACTTTACCATAATTCTAATCATCCCACATTGTAGACATATTTAGAATTAAAAATATGAAGAGAATGACAAAACCTCTTAACACATTTCTTAGGAAACAAATAGTGTGGTATTCTTGTTACTGTGGCAACAGAGTTTTTTCTTTTTGTCATTTTTGTCATACAGATTACCTATCATACCAGGACCAAATCCTGAAAATT